TCTCCCAAAGAGCTCCTGGCTATATCTTGAAACAGCCGATGTGATTTCTCCGGACATCCCGACTTAGATCTCACACTGTACTCCGGCACAAATGGTGGTGTACATGGCATTGTTTCAGCAATATCGTAAGATTGGGAACTTTATGTCGAGTACATACCAGGCTGCCCCAGTGTATCAAAGTAAATGGAAAATTGAACCTCTGTGAGGTAACGTTGTTCTGACAGGTAAATACGTGTTGGCGCAAAGAATCGCGTGCACATTGCATTTCAGTTGTGAAAGGGAGCGGTCACGTGCATGCAGTTCCTAAGTTACCTTCAGGCTGAGGTTTGGGGTACAGCAAGAGGCATGCACCGGCAAAATCCGAGACACAGGGTAGGGGGAGGGGGGGCAAGAGGGCTCTGGGAATGCAATTCTTTACTGCAGGTTGAAAACCCGAAATAAGAGTCCACAGGGTACCCTCCCTCCCTCCCTCCCTCCTTCCATATCCGGAAGTGACAGCCTAATTAGGAAGGTGAGGTGCCCAAAAGATGTGGTCCGGTGGCTTATGGAGATGTTTATCAAATCCTATATTGGCTTATCCAGAGAGGAAGGGGATGCATCTGAAAGATCACAGAGTAGTTGCATGTCTTTTGACTGACTACAGCACCTCTTGGGGAGGACTATGACACCAGTAATTAATGCATGACTTGCCTGTGTCAGACAGTTTATCAAGGTTCAGTGTCAGAAAATAACATTGCACATGTCCTGGGTCCATTCCTGACCGGAAAAAATGTTCCTGAAATGAGAAAAGCTCTCGGAAAGGTCAATTTATGGTGGCTACACAAACTCATTTAAGGACCACTGGACCCCCCCTCCCTCCCTAACCTCCGGTCTCGGAATTCTCCGGCTGGGCCCTCTTGGGGGGGGGGGTCTCCGAGGCCCTTAACTGGAAATTATTTCCACCCAAGAAACTGCTAGTAGGAGGTGAGTGAAGGCTTATTCTCATGAGTTCCATGCCTTACAGTTGAAACCTATCACAGAGGAGAGCTTGTAACATGTATCAGGGGGTGGTGTTCAGCCAGCGGTGGGGGGGGGGGGGGCAGCATCAGGAAAACCCAACTTTTTCTTAAGAGAACACTTAACTGCCTTAAATGGACTTATAGTTCTTATTTAAGGAAATAAGGACAAAAAGGGCATAAGCCATATTACATTAAGTGTCTGAAATCCAACTTATTGAGACTTATTCGAGAACTTATAACCTTAAATAAGGGTTGTCAGAGCAAAAGGTCTCGAAGGAAAAGTGGGGTTTTCCTGATAGGGGTTGGGGTCAGGGGCTTAGTAGGTGTGATGTCGGGTCACACTAGTCTCCCAAAGGCAGTGTAGCTACTCTGCTTCAACCTTCATGACTCAGGATATCCGTATCTGATGTCTGCTTTCCTTACAGTCATTTGCATATGAAACCAGAAACACCGCGATAAAATCTTTTGTTTGTTCAAGCCAAATATTGCCTTAACCAGTATCACCGAGTCCTCTCTGACTGTCATGCACGCTGTTCACTAGCTCCCTGTGTCCGACATAGTGCAATTCTCTGGATACCACAAGTCCACCATCTATGAAATTCTTCGACTCTACCGAGAGTATGGCCAGGTCTCCAATCCACTCGCTCAAGTGCAAGGCCACCCCTGAGCTCTCGATGCAGATGATGTTGCATATCTGTCCACTCTTCTTGATATAAATTCAGCAATATATTTGGATGAGATTCAGGTCAAACTCACTGAGGATCGAGATATTGACATCTTGTTGGCTCAGTGATGTCAGTTATGGGTGATAATAAATTGTGCTAGTTAACAGCATGAAAGGATAAGCAGGCTCCTAAGTTAGCAAAGGATAATCTTTGAGATAATCCCAAGGATGATCTAAAGGATTATCTGAGTTTAAAAGATGTTTTTTAAGTTGTCACCAGCCAGAATTGAACCCTCAACCTTGAGAGAAGGTCACATGATCAACTGACACTAGACACTTTAGCCACTACACCATATCAGCTTATAAAAGTTACTCTCATGTATCATACATATAGGAGATTTTGCTAAAGAGACTTAGGCAAATTCTGTCTATAGGTGCATAACTGAGTGAAAACACAAGACAAAGAATGTCATAGTAGCATTTCATACAGTCTATACTGCTGTTTATATTATAATACCTATATATTAACTTTGTATATATTGTAAACTACTGTTCACCTTATAGGTACCATTAAAGGTCCATTCTCTAAACTTAAAATTTATGACTATAGTCTTTTTGTAAAAGATGAGATCACATTGTGATTGAATTGTAAAGTATGTATTAAGAATGTTATTATAAATATGCTTTGCCTTGTGTTTAACTTAGCTACTCTCTTATGATTGGCAGAACTTGTCTAAGTCTCTTTAGCAAAATCTCCTATATATATTATACATGAGAGTAACTTTATAAGTTGATATGGTGTAGTGGCTAAAGTGTCTAGTGTCAGTTGATCATGTGACTTTCTCTCAAGGTTGAGGGTTCAATCCTGGCTGGTGACAACTTAAAAAATATCTTTTAAACTCAGATAATCCTTCGGATTATCTCAAAGATTATCTTGAGATAATCCCCCAGTTTAAAGGCTTGCTGATAAGATAATCCTGAAAGAGGTCTGCTAAGTAAGGAGTTTGCTAATCTTAAAGGTCTGTTAATTAACAGTATATATTATCTTTTATAAATGACAATGATGGTTGGCTACCATCTCGCATGCCCTGCACAATCTTGCCCTCTCGTGGTGATACGCTCCCTGCAACTCTGGCCTCTGAAAATGTGTTTTTCAGCGATCGTTCAGACCTCACTACTCTATACCTTAGCCTCTGAGATGCATCCGACCCTTTTGTGACATTCAGTGAACTTTTCTGACTGCATGCAACCTTGTTCGACTTCGCTCGATGCCTCGTGACTTCTCTCCGAGATTTGACATTCTTTCGTCACTTATATGCCACTCTTGCATCTCCCTGCTGTCGGATACCACTTACCCGTTGTCCTTTAGTCTTGTCTGATGCGCCCTGGCCAATTTCCTTCCAAGTCCATACTTCTCCGACATCGCGCCGCCTCCCTGGATGTTGCGCCGACTTGCTGGTTCATCGCGCTGACTTATCAGTGTTGCTCGATGGTCGTGCCCTTTTGTTTTGCAAATCTCATTCCCTTTATCGTTCGACCTTCCCCTTCAAGACTCCTACCTTCGTGCTGGACCGGAGATGCCATTAGAGTGTTCCATGTGGTTCAGGACAAGTAGCATATGTTTTCTTTCGATTTCACTCTACTTTACCGTTCATCTCCATTGCTAACGTACAACATTCACCTCTCCACTCCCTTTACCTATTTTTCCATTGGTCCTAGGCCATTGCGGCTCTTTCCGATGTCAGGATCCATCTTCTGACATTTTGCGACTTTCACATCTTCTCTCCCTTTTTCCCCCTCTATAAATACCTGCTGTATCTACATCGATTATCATTGAAGACCAGTAGGAGACTTTCCCCTTCACTTCAGATCACCGAGAAACTGTGTTTACTGCGATAGCGACTTCAAACTGCAACATACCCCACTGTGACACTGCAACACTGCGACATAGCGATATAGCGAGACTGCGATACTTCGAGACTGCATACTGCGACTGTGATAGCGAACTGCGACACTGCGATATAGCAATATACCACCTGCATTAGTTTTACTCTGACTTTTGCATTAGACTGACTGCAACTTCATCGAGATGGCAACTACTGCGTTTCCCCATAGTGTTCTACCTCCACAGATGGTTCCCTTCACCTTTGTGATTTGGTTCATCTTCGCCTACGAGTTTGGCGATCACATCGTGACCTTAGCTTCCTACCTCTGACTTTCGCGACTTCGTCATAGATTGTCACTCGACTTCACATTTACATCACGAGCCCTCGTTCTTTTACAGGTTGCATCCCCCTTTGGCTTAGGTTGAGGTTCTTGGACCCACTTGCATCATTTTACAGTTGCGACGCCCTTCCCTCTCACACAGACAGCCCTGCTTCTTATTTGTTTTAGTTAGGTTTAGGTGTTTGTGTCGGGTGTGCACTCATCAGCGGAAGCTGATCTCGAAGAGTGCACTGGAGTGGAATGAGCTCCTTCAGGCTACATGGCAGGCACAGTGGGGGGATATACCGATGGAATACATCGTGTGGTTGGATGAATCAAGTGTTAGGTTAGGTTAGGTTACAGCTGGGCTGAGATGGGGAGGGCTTGTGTGCATCGAGATACCTTCATCCGTGGCCAGCGCTATTCTGTTCTTCCTGCACTATCACTCAACAGAATTATTGCCTTGGACATCTTTGAGGGGTCAGTCAACAAGGCACAGTTCATTGAATTCCTAAGGATGGAACTTGTACGTGCATGACAATCTTCTGTGTATATAATGACTCTATTCTGCCTCACAGGCACCGAAACTCAACCCATACCCTGGCGGAACAGCGTAGTAATCATGGACAATTGCGCTATACATCATGACGAGGATATTCGAGAGATCATTGAGGTTGACTGTGGTGAGTGAGACTCAAAAATATTCCGTTTCAGAGCTGAATCAATGTTTGAAGGTGCAAAACTTGTGTATTTGCCACCGTACTCACCCGATATGAATCCGATCGAGCAGGCATTCAGCAGCATCAAGTCATGGCTTCGCCATCATGAAGATGAAGCCACTATGCCAGAAGTTCAACCTTGGCTTATACATCAGGCCATACAGTCTGTCACAACAGAGAGTGCTCTGGGATGGATTATGAACTGCAGATACTTGTAAAGTAGTAAGATATGAAATGTAAACTAGGAGTCAGTAAATGAATGGTAGACAACTTGTATAGACAAATGAGTGACAGTTGTTTTAGATGAATGTAAGTTACCCACGGTCCTCACAGAGCTTATATGCCTCAACGCCGTCTCCGCTTCTGCTGCAATCTGTCTATCCACTCCTTTGCAAATAACTGTAGTTTAATGACTCAACCTTCAACAGCACCAGTCAGCTCACACAAATGAGCCAGCGGGACTTCGGGAATGATGTCTGGTGTAAGTTCTTGAGCAGCAAGAGCATCTTCAGAAGACAGCATGTCAATACCTTTCTTCTCGAGAAAAGCAACAAGGAAGCTATGGAGGTCAGCAGCATCATGAGGCATCCCCAGCGTTGAAGGTGGTGAGTGCAGAGAAGTATGCCAAATAGGCGTAGATGGAGGATTTGCCGCTGAGAATGCAAGAGGAGACACTGCAAGTTGCTGTATCAGAAGAGCTGTGACAATGCCCATCAGAGCTGTGTTGGCATCCGAGACCGGCAACAAGGTGACATGTGGTCCAATTTGTCCTCACAACTTCACAGGGGCATCTGTCCATCTCTCGCACCTTCAAACTCAACCACATTGGGAGGGACTTGCTTCATAGCATCATGAGCTGCCTACAACACAATCTAAGCAGAAAGCTCATAAGAAATGATAAGGAACTCACTATGGCTGCTGCCCACAACTTTAATCTACGGTTGTTCAACAGAATATGTTCATGACTGCCCTTATAGCAATAACCAGGCTCACTGTGCTCTCCAGTATGATCTGAGCAGCTATGCAGCTTCTTGAGCTCCAGGATGATGGCACCGTAAAGTTGTGCCTCATCCGAGACAATTTCCAGATGTGGAACCTAGCAGGAATAAGTGACTTCACCAGTGAATGGAGCCATAATCATTACCTTTGTACCATAGATGAGCTTCTCGTCTGTGTCATTTGCTGTCTCTATCTGTTGGAATACCTGTGATGAGAAGGTTATTAGAATCACAAGAAATGATGTTTGTAGTGGTACATACATGCTTACGAAGACGGAAGCCTTCCAACTTCTCGACATCAAAATCTACATTCACTGAACAGCCTCTCTTCTTGAGGATCGCACCGAGAGTGACACTAAATTCGTCATCAGTTTCAATGGTACCTGCACCACCTTTCCTGCACAAATGTTAATGTGAGCAATTATGGGGTGCGAAGAGAGAATATGTATGTCATTCCAGTCCACCACAGCTTGAACGAAGGGCCTGAATGTGGACCAGCTGCATATTGCTCAGTTAACCCGTGGGCATCAAGGAACACATCTCAACATGAGCATACTTCATGACATGTGTTGACTTGTAACTAACCCTACTGCCGGTATGTGGGGCTCCCTTTACCATCTCTGTATAATACATGATGACATTCACAAGGTATCGGACAGCTATGACAAGTCAATACAGCATAGCAGCCTAGAATATAAGTACTTACATGCTTCCGGATGTGACTGTGGTTCCAACAGGACCGGAACTGGCCCTGGAACACCATTAGGAGCTGGCGTGGGCACTCGTGTGAAGACAGGTGCAGGTGCAGGCACCTGAGCTGGAGCTGGTGCAGCAGCTATCATGGCCCCCAGCTCTCGTGCTCACTGAGATTCTGTACCTGTTCTAACGACAGCAGCCTGTTGCCTCGTTTATATCTCCTGGTGGTTATGGTAGAACTGTGGGGGATTTACTCCACCATCTGTGATGCAAATATGAGATCACATATTCTAGAGTTACAAAACAGAATATACCAATCCAGGCGGGGTTTCTGACCCACCCCTCAGAGACAGGTCACTCGATTGTTGACTGCAAGTGGGAGGCTGATATTGTATAATATGAAGAGGATATGCATTATTTCCCGTGCAGGTAGACTGCAGAGGAATCTGTGAGTGACCCATGGGGGAATGGTATACGTACTGGCCATTCTCTTGCTTTTATAAGATTTCCCCTAGAAATTGTAGACAAGACAACCATAGAACATCTGAAAGTCCATCAGACTGGAGAGGGTAGTCAAGAAACAGCAAAGTCGTGTATATTGCATGGGCACAACATTGACAACCGTTGGTGGTTGAGAACAGGCAGGATTTAACATGGCGATGAGAAGCTTGACTACTGGTATTCATCAGAGGGGTAGTAGTCATAGGAAATGTGCAACAGGAGGGACAGCCAATGAATAGCGACTGTTGAAGGGGGCATCGTAGCGGGCAGTGCCAGCAAGCAAGGGGATGTGACTAGTGTCACAGACTCAGTCATACTCAATAAGGGAATATTTGGCCTGAACAACTTGAAGACCACAATTCTAGATGCTACATATGCTGGGAGGACTACCAGCTGCCCCGAAAGAAGTCAACACTCATCACGTTCATATCAGAGCAGGAGGCTCCGGATCCACTCAGGCAGTTTGCATGTGGCCATGCTTTCCATGTACATCTCTTCTGACTCACTGCAGTTCGTTATCTTGATCTACGTGTACTGTAGAAATGGTGTGCAGAACATTGGGCTTGTGAGAATGATAGGTGTTTCTTGTGCCGGAAAAATCTTCGTCCTCCTGAAGGTACTCAGATGGAGGCGAAATGGTCTGCAACATACAACCTCTTATGCGATCACAGCGGGGTAATCAGAAGAGCGGTACAGTTAGAACTATTGCATACCTTTGAATGGTTTTGTCTATCTTCTTTAGGTCATAGCTCCAGACACGCTCACATTCGCTCACATTCTGCTTGATTACAGGGAACATATCTATTATGCACACTTTACAGCAGACAGCAAATACCTCGCAACAAAGTGGCAACCCCGACTTGCTGCTTTGCTAGAAGACCCGATACGGTTCCCAGGCCCCTTTTATTATGTGAATGAAGACATGCAAGCATCTGCAAAAATTTCAAGGTCTAGGTAGCACTATGTAGCTCGGGTAGGCCAGAAAGGCACGTAGCAGGGTCTCTGATTATGTAGGACTCTGTAAAATGGGGTATCCTATGATAGATGGTGATAGGGCCATAGCATGCGAGGGTGATAGTGCCTGTAGGCTCGCATAGCAGCTGTAATATCAGCTAGGAACCTCTCCCGGACATCCACAACACAGAGATCTGGTGTCCGATGCCAGTTTCTCATTGGCAGACAGGATGAACTCGATGTGGGTTCAAAAATATACAATTAAATGCATTAAAAAGATAATACGTTGGCAGATATGGGTATTGAGACACAATGATCTTACCTTTTGACATTATGGTCAGAATATTCAACACCACCCATCCTCGCAGGGCCTTCAACCACCTCACAGGCAACCCAGCCTCAAAGTTCACCTCAATTCTCTATTGCTGCAAAGTCATCATCAGTCAGTTGATCCAAGATTCGGACCACGGCGGCATCCTCGAGCACACCCGCATTAGACCTAAAACAACATATCAGATGCACCGCAATATGGGAAAAGCTGTACCCTCATCTGAGAGTCTGCAAGAGGTCTTCCTACATGCAGCACGATGCTCGTGAGTGCATCTTCGAGTATGCCTCCCAGTTATTGAGCATGTTGAGGTGCTTTAGATACACCGGTTTGTATTTTCGAGCATGCATGTCGAGCTTCACGTGAGTTTCAGTAGCATATTCATTAATAGCGCACTCGATCTACGGAGATTCATCAGCTGTGCACATAGGAGAAGTGGTCCTCAACATGCACCACAGTAAGGACCTGGGCAATCATTGCCAAAGAAGGTCCTCTGACAAAATACTCCTGATAGCGGACATCATCAGAATCTTCGGCATCCGCAAACCACATCTTGGTCAAGATATCCATAATGATTGGATTGTGGCATAGGGTGGTAGGGCTTGTTGGGTCCTGAGAGTGATCATGAGTAGTCAGACAAAGCACAGAAGACAGTGTGATGATGTACGACATGAGCATGTGCCGCCTTGTGCTTCAGGTGTATGACAAGAGCTCGGTTGTGTTCCTTCACTTCATTAGAATGCCCTTGCTTGAACCCAAACTGCTGCGGCAGAAGACCACGAGCTATTGTCTTCATGACGCCTCGGACTTGAGGTGCACGGTCTCGAATCTGAAGGAGAATCAGTAACACAATCACGCAGAGGGGACTTACTTACTAAACTGCAGTCCTTTCATCAGCAAAACCCAACTTTTTCTTGCAGAGCTATTTTGACTTTTTGGTCTTACAACCCTTATTTAAGGCAATAAGTCTTCAAATAAGTAAGATAGGCCTCACTCATATCCAACCACTCGTGTCGGGCATCTAATGTCACGCTTACACCAAAATGGCGAGCGAAAGTGCTTGCTCGTCTAATTCCTCTTTCCACAAAGCCTTTATCAGAAATGTGTTCCCTGGGGATTGTTAATGAATATTCCCAGGGAGCACATTTTTTTATTTCACCCTCATAGGAGAGAAATTAGGCTGGCAACAACCCAAAGTGAACGGCGACCAAACAGAGCCAACATCCAGCAGGTAAATATTTGGCTGATAAGTGGCCCTTACCACACCATCCATTACCATATCGGGTATCAGACTTTGACTTATTGCTCCCAAATCAATTCTTGCTCGGAGAGCAAGCTCTCCCGACCCAAAAGTGAAAGTGTCCTTTTTACACAGTTGTTGTGCATTATTTGTTTTGTGGCAATTCTGTCCGCTCCCGAGCAAGTTCCGCCGCCGCCTGGCGGCCTTTCGAGTAGCATCACTCTCGGGCAACTGTCGGGTCACAACCATGTCACGGCGCTTAGAGTGGTTGGGCATGAGTGAGGTCTATCTTATATTTACCGGAGGATTACTCGTCTCCCAGGAAGAGAATCTTGCGCAACGCAGACGTGCTCAGACTCCCATCAGTGCGGTCTGTTTTTCACGTACGTTTGATTTTGCATTCCTATGTAGTCCGTGACAGCTAACGACGTGTAGTACAGCAGCTGCGCACGAGCATTGGATGTACGAGAATTGTTCTCTACACCTAGGATGAGCATCTTCAAGATTAGTACCTAGTTGCAGTCTCCTGCCAATCGGCGCAAGCACGGAACACCGTGCACAACGACCTACCGGTTCGCCAGTGGCAGTCGCCTCAGTCTGGGTGATAACATGGACACATGGACATATACTCGACGTCCCGACCGACATGTCATTTATGGAGCAGGATGCCGTTCTTGGATACCAGGACAGAAATTGATTTATGTGGAGAGGGGCAAAGGTTCAAGCAAAGTTGCAGAATGGCGTATAGAAACATAATACTCGCCAGATCACAGTCGTTGGCGCAACTTGAAGACGGCAGATCTAACAAGTTACTCTGCACCACGCAGGCGGTAAACTACAATTGCATGTTATGAATGTATTGTACGACAGGCCAGCACGGGATCGAGCTTGTAGGCAAAATGTACATCTGAAACGCGAGTATCTTCGAATTCATTGACGGGCAGGCTATCGCCCATTGAATCAAAAGATAGAAAACATACGGCTATCCTGAAATGCATGAGAACTCATATAGCAACGTAAACGACAGCACCGATAACAATACATGATGAACGGATACAAGCGAAGCTCTTGAAATGAAGTGACTATCATCGCACTTCAACTTGAACTCGATGTCAATTCACTCAGAAATGATGGAGAATAAAGTAAGCCAAGCAGTTGCTATTGCCAATTGGCTCAACGGAAGCATTCTTGATATTCGCTCAGTGAGCTACACTCGGCGTGGTAGGCGGGAGGTGGATTGTTATCCGCATCGAGCTCCGCGAATCCACGCGTAGTCAGCTCGCCCGGCTTTAGCTTATCCTTTGCAGAGGGGCTCAAGGAGGAGCGCGTTGAACCAGATAAACGTGGAGGGGGGGTGAAGTCAGCTGGTGTTAATGGGTCTTGTTCCACGTCGGAGAACTCCCAACCCCCGTCTGACCTCCGATGAGCAACGCGCATGTTCTCGCCTGGATTGTGCACTGTTATGTCACATTTTAGGAATGTGTAGCACGGCCACCAAATTTGTCGAAGACTCACCAAAACGAGGCTGTTCACCACCTGGTGAGCCGAAAGGCGTGACACGACAAGCAAGGTCACTCGGATCAACAACACTGGAGGTATGCCGGTGGAAACCGTGCACCGGAGCGTGAAACCGTCGACGCCGCAACGTCCAATAGCCGATGCCCAGCAGAGTGAGAAAGGTGACCACTCCAATAGAGACACCGATGGCGATGGGTGTGTTATTCGATTTCGTTGCTGTGGGAGCTTCAGCACTAGCAGACGGCTGAACGCTGGCGATAGACGAAGACATCTATAGTGAGATGTTGGATGAGAAAATGATATCGTGTTACTGGATTAATTAGACATTCTATAGGCCGAGGGGAGTGGTTGAGTTCTTACCGATGATGACCGTCGCTTTTGCGAGGAACGAAAGAGTGTGAGGGGAGACAGCGAGAGAAAATGAGCGCAGCGATCGTCTTGCACAAAGGTTACGAAATGGTTGGAGGGAAGGGGGAAATTCACTCACGTAGCAATGCGTCCCACAGCTGGTCTGTGCCTTAAGCCTATAACCGAAGCAAACGCCAACTTGAACAACGTTGAACGAATGCTTCGTTCAGAGTCAATCACGTGGTGGTAATATGAGCGTCTATTCAGTAGTCACTGCGTTGAACAAGCGCTGAAAAATTCAACGCCTCAGAGTTCATTTGGCCATCACCAGAGAATGGAGTCGCATGAAGACTCCAGACCTGCAAAACGGTTCAAGGTTTGTATACATACATACTTGTATCTCAGAACGACCCTAACGTCTAGTGCAGCACCAGTCCTACAAGGAGACACTAAAAGAAGTCCACTTGCCTTCGGCTTTGAAACAATCATATCTTGATCATGAGATTGATGTGAGTGGACACATTATAATATGATGTATAACTCCTCAGTGTGCTCGGTCGCAGGAAAATGATACACATTTTCGCGAATCTCTCCGTCACTGGAGGGAGCTCAACCTGTCGCCCGCCTTCATTAGCTTCGCAAATGCGGCAGAAAAGCTCTCTGCATCTATGCCGTTGCTGCTGCATAACTGGCAGGACATTGTGGAGCTTTGGCTGAAGGCAGTGGATGCAGCAGATGATGAGGCTTTGAAGGCTCTGTTGGAGTAAGCACGTTCTCAGGCGTCCTTTTGAGATCGTATTGACCATGCAATTAGCGTCTTTCAAAGGCTGGCACACGACCTTCGGACTACTCTGTCTCCCAAGTATCCCGCTATTCTGAGATGTTTGCTGCAGCTACTTCCCCACTCGCTGTCCGCACCTGCCCTCACGGCTCTGTTGGCAACATATTCGGCGGTATTCAAATATGTTCTCATTCCGTCTGTTCAACCCTTGTTGCTGGAGCAGGCGTGGGAGATGTTCAGCAATACACTACCACGATGCAGCCCGGAGGTGCAACGGGCAACGGCGGAGGTTTGGGGAGCGACGCTTCGGAGACTGAAGACAACATCTCGGGATCAATGTGTTGGCCTGATTGCAGCCAGCTCTGAGGGTGATATTGCAGACGCATATGCTTGGATTCTAGTTTATGCATGCAAGGTGAGCACTCTTCATTTGGTCGCTGAAGATCGCGATCCTCATTATGATTTGCAGTCTGTCTCGCAAACACTACATACAGCTACTTCGACTCTGTTTTCACCTCTGCTACAGTATCACATCGCTGTCGAGGCCCCCAAGAGATCATTCACTCTGATACGGCGTGTCATGACTGCCCTGATCCACCACTGTAAGAGTGCAGAACAATTCGCTCCAGTCGCGGATCTTCTTGTGGATCAATTCCTTCAAGCTGTCAAGTCAGATGACCAAGAAAGCATTCGTCGTATGCTTGAGCTCGTGACAGTAGCTTGCTCAGTCCGCCAAGGATCGAGGATGATGTGTGAGTGCGTTTTCTGCATGCGCCTAGTCTCATTGCTGACAGTATTCTGTGTTACAGCTGAACACTTGTCTATTCTCCTTAGGCAATTCGAGTCCTTACCGCTATCCGATCTCCTCCACAGCGCACTTCTGAAGTTTGCTGCCACGTCTCTGACTGCAGGGGACATGTCACTCTGGATGAGACATGGCCGCAAAGTAGTGGAACGTTCATGGGAACGACCAGCGCTCGGGATCGAGCTTTGCGGAGCCTTGTCAGACTTAGCCTGGGGAGGTTGGAAGTTCATCGCTCTGCAGCACGTCCCAAGATTGACCCCTCAGCTGCTGAAAAGTCATCCCAAACAAACCCTGGAACTACTTGTCGCATTGCATCATGAGAAGAGGCTGGATGACGTTGATATTGTCTGGAAACGACGGTTTCAGACATGGGTGACAGATACGTTGCAAGGATGGGAGCAGAATGAAGAGAATGTAGGTCGGAAATTCTCCCACGTCATTTCCTTGTCTCAACGAATCGTTCTAGATTTTGACCCTCAACGATGTCCTGGCATTATCCAGTCTGCTCCCATCAATCGCTCCATTTCTTGTAGGAGTCATCGATACGACGATCTGCGCCACCGATCCGCGGAGTGAGTACGATAGGTCCTACGCAAATTCTGCCTGGGTTATGGGAGCATGTCTTCAGTGCTTATCTTCGCGGGAGCCTTCAGAATGGGTTGCCCAAGTTGATGTCGCGGCCTGGACTGTCAAGCTCGTCAAAAAATGGTATTGGTCAAGTTTTGCACTGAGCGGCCTAGTTTCTCTGCTGCGTGCCAGGTATGTCAATCTGTTCTATCGTGGCAGACGTATTTGAGCTTAACAGGGTGCAGTGGATCGAAAAGTCAGCTTGTCCCGTTAGAGACGCTTTATGCATACCTTCAGGCGTCCCTCCTATCGCATTCACATTCGTTGCGCTTGGGCGCCTTGCGCTTGCTCACGTCACCGCTCGTCAAGTCACCCTCTGGACTTGCTGAGACTCTCAAGAAGTGTCTTCAGGCCGAGGAAGTGTCTATTGATCTACAGGGTGTCCGAGAGCGTGTTCTCAGACTAGGAAAGCTACCATTGGTCGTCAACGATGGAGACGATGCTGCTGCGGGCATCTGTACTCGATGGCTCATAGGTAGGAACCGCGTCTCTGCCAGGGTGCTGCCCAGTTCTCATATCACATATATCAGCTCAGTTCAAAGTCAACTTGCGACCACTCTGGTCTCCTGCTGCTGTGGCTATGTCTACACTGTCTCGCCGGTTTGATGACGTCGTGTGGCGGCTGGTATTCCAGGAGTTACAGGCGGCGTCAAGCAGTTCCGACAGTAGTACTGGTCCGACATGGCTCAAGGAGGATATACAGAGTGACGAGGACGATATATGGGAAGAAGAGCGGTCGTGGCGGGATCCAAGCGCTCACAGAGCACGCCTTGTGCTAAATAAATGGGGTCGCAATGATGGTGCGAATCGGACAATCGTCAAAGTAAGTTGTCACTGAGAATTTATTCTGTGCTAGCCTTTACCCAGATTTTTGTTAGGCTCAGCTTGTAGATGATCGATTCGATCCCGCCTCCTACGAAAGTCAACTTGTTTTGGCATTGGGAGAGTGCGCGGCGCTGGCCGAGAAGCACAATCGTGATCTGGTACCCTTTTTCCTGTCAATCGCTGGACCCGAGGCATTGTCGAAAATGCCACGATACAAACTCACTGCTTGGCTTTCACTTTTGTCCAAATTCGTCAATCCAAAGGCATTACAATCGACAGAGCGTCTACGTTTCTTATACACCGCTACCCTGTCACATCCCGATCGGTCTCTGCAACGTTTGTCGCTTTCTTGCATGCTGACATACAAATCTCCACATTTGCTGCCTCATGAGGACATGCTCCGTATGTTATTGGATGACACTAGATGGCGAGATGACCTTGCCCAGCTGGACATCAGTGGGATCGAATTGGGCGAGCGCCACGAGCTGGTGGATGTCCTTATCAGACTGTTGTTCGGCCTAATGTTGGAGAAGCGCGGGCGAGGGCGCGGCGCACACCGCCGTGCTGCCATTTTATCTGCTCTAGCTGGGTGCACGGACCAAGAACTCTACTTGTTGGTGGATCTCATGCTGCAGCCTATCAAGAAGAATGCGGTCACACTTCAAGCTAAACAGTACATAATTCAACCAGTCTCAGAAGAGGTCTCGGAGAAGCAACAGATCGGTTTTCTGACTCTTCTAGGTGACGTTCTGAGATACCTGGGATCGCGACTCGAATCGCGTTGGCCTGTCCTACTGGAGACCGTTCTGGAGCTACTGTCTCACGCTCAAGCTCGGTTGAGTGCACAGAAGGCGGATGACGCCGATGGAGAGGAAAGCGCAGACGCCGAAGAGGAGCCCGAAGGCGAAGATGGCGGTGAACCCACGAACAGGAGTACTCGCATCATCAGGCAGCTGGGGCTGAAGCGGCTCATGGACTTCTTCCACTGTCCTGTCTCATTCGATTTCACACCTTACATGAAGGAGTCATTCCGTGCTTTCATCTCACCACGCCTGCCACTGCTTGATTCCGAGAATACCCAAGCACCATCCGCCCTTCTCGAGCTCCTCTTCACTTGGACCCTCCGGAAGGAGCATGCGAGATACCTCGTGGATTATGATAATCTCACACTTCCCAAGATCTACGCATGTCTCGTTGCAAAGAACGTTAAGCCTCCTGTAGTCTCCAAGATCTTCGACATCGTCGACCACCTCTTAGCTCTCTCGGCCGAAGATGCACTGATATCAGCGACCGTACTGCGCCCTCACGTCTCTCTGCTACTGACCAACATGTCTCGTTTGATAGAGTGCAACAAAGATGTTGGTACAGTTGCTGATATCCTTGGACGGCGACAGATCACTGTCTTGTCGGAGATTGCCCCGTACCTGACCAATGGCGAGCAAGCAAACACATTGTTAGGATTATTTTCCCCACTTCTTCGCAAGACTGCCAAAGTCGTTCCGGAGAAGGTGAAGGTTGACCTGGCGAACATCTTGTGCAGCCTCTTTCCACTTATCCCGGAACTGTCGGACTCTAATTCCGTGCCGTATACCAAGACTTACACTCTTCTTTCGCGTTTATTCCAGAGCTTGCGTTCAAGACAAGCTCGTTTGGCCCTTGTCGCGGCCTTTGACTGCCTTGCGCAGGCAAATCCCTCCATTCAATCGCTTGCAGACCTTATGGCCTCACTGAATTCATATTCCTCGAAACGGATTGACGAGCCGGACTTCAATCGCCGGATGGAGGCCTTCACCCAGCTAAACGAGTCGCTGTATGCTTCATTGTCCTCCAAGGACTGGTTGCCTATCCTGTACAACATGCTCAATTTCATGCAGGATCCAATGGAGCTGGCTGTTCGAACCAATGCCGGGTACAGTCTGAAGCGTTTCATCGATATCGTTGAGCACACGTCGGACCCGGAATACAAGGCGACTTTTGTAAAGGTTCTTTATCCTGGCATAAAGAATGGCCTGCGTTCCAAGAACGAGATGGTTCGGGCAGAACTACTTGGCGTTCTCTCTTATGCTGTATCAAATTGTGATTGCATCGAATCTTTCCGAGACATGCGGGTGTTACTTGCTGGTGGTGACGAGGAGGCTAACTTCTTCAATAATATCCATCATGTCCAAGTACATCGGCGCACGAGGGCGATCCACCGATTAGCTGACCACAGCGATGAAGGACATCTTCGTAGCAGTACTTTGGCGGAGGTGTTGATTCCACTTGTGGGGAACTACGTAGTCGTGACCGACACTGTGGACCATCATTTGGTCAATGAAGCAATCACTGCAACTGGACGAATGGCGCGGCACCTGAGCTGGGGTGCATACTTCAGGCTCACGCAGCAATACTTGAAGTTGGCACGGCAGAAGGATTCATCCGAACGAGTGTACGTTCGTGCCCTCGTAGCGATCCTGGATAATTTCCACTTCCCAATGGACAACATCGTCGATGACCTAGAGCGAATGGGTGCTTTGAATGGTGATGACGCTGAAGGTGCCGACGAGGAACTGGCTGGTGAAGGACCTGCAGACTTACCGAAAGTCGCAGACATCTCACGAATTGAGGATGCAGTTAATAACCGCCTCCTTCCCAGTCTCTTGAACTACCTGGAGAAACGCGATGAAACTGAGGACAGTCTCAGAATTCCGATATCCATCGGTATTGTTCAGGTGGCACGACATCTCCCTGAAAGCACGCGTGAACCGCAAATCTCCAAGCTGCTGACAGTCCTTAGCCAAATCTTCCGCAGCAAATCTCAGGAGACGCGAGATCTCTCTCGGGACGCACTTTGTCGCATCGCTGTCATCTTGGGACCATCGTATCTTCCTATTATGTTACGGGAGCTACGGGCTGCGTTACTTCGAGGACCACATCTTCATGTACTGGCCTATGTGGTGCACTCGTTGCTGGTGCATGTTACTACTGGGGATCATGCAACGTTATTCAACAAGCTCGATGATTGTGTCAACGATGTGGCCCATGTCTCTGCGGAGGTTGTTTTCGGCGAATCCGGGAAAGATCTTCAATCAGAGGAGTTCAAAACGAAGATGCGAGAAGTGCGCTCTTCCACCGCCAAAGGCCTGGATTCCTTTTCTATCATGGCCAAATATATCACTCCCTCCAAGATTAGCAACCTCCTCCTTCCAATCCGGAATATCATGAAGGAGACGGAGACCCTGAAAGTGATGCAGCAGGTGGATGATCTGCTAAGGCGGATTACAGGTGGCTTAAACGCTAATCAACACTTGGTGCCAGTTGAGCTGTTAGTACTTTGTCATACGTTGATAAGTCAGAGCTCTCGCTTCCTCAAAGACGCACCTGTCTCCCGGAACTTCCAAGGAAAGAAGCAAAGCGACGCCATAGTGCAGACGAAGCGACATCTTGACGTGGAGTCCAACCATTACGCTAACAACTCGTTCAGGTATCTATTCGTCCATCCATGTATTAATTGTTATTTGACGTTGTAATAACAGGTTCGTCAATTTTGGGCTGGAGCTTTTCATTACCGCGCATCGACGCAGTCGTTTCGACTTCCAAGATGCCAGCGTCATTGCTCGCCTAGAACCGATGGTGGCAACGATTGGGAACACTCTGTACACCAACCACATGCAGATTGTCATCTCAGGGATGAGAGCTGCTGCCGCTATTGCGAAGTGCCCTCTGAAGTCCATCCAGAAGTCGTTGCCCGTCTTCATTCACCAGATGATTGACATCATCAAACAAGCCGGATCGACTGAATCAGAGGCAGTTCAGACCGCTTTCAAATCTCTGGCGACCGTTCTTCGCGATCAGCCTACGGCTCAAGTGAAGGAGAAGGATCTGGTCTACCTCTTGGAATTGCTATCGCCAGACTTGGAGGAACCCTCGCGGCAGGCGTCGGTCTTCACTATGTTGCGTGCCATCGTGTCGCGGAAATTCATCGTCCCAGAAATCTATGACTTAATGGACAAAGTGGTAGAAGTGATGGTGACAAGTCAGTCTCCCCAGGTGCAAGAACTATGTCGTGGAGTGTTGCTTCAATTCCTGCTGGATTATCCGCAAGGGAAGGGCCGGTTGCGTAACCAAATGACCCTTCTGGCGAAGAATTTGACCTACGTATATGAAAGTGGCAGGAAATCGGTCATGGAGCTCCTCAGCGCCATGATATCCAAGTTCGAGGTTAACCTAGTCCGGGAATATTCGGATCTTCTGTTCGTTTCGTTGGTCATGGTCATCGCTAATGACGACTCTGCTAAATGCCGAGAAATGGCAGCTGAACTTATCAAGAGCCTGTTTTCACGTCTAGCAGATCGTCAACGCAATGTGATCATGTCTCATCTCCACTCTTGGGCTGCACAGCACGCTCAACCCCAGCTGGCTCGAGTGTCATTGCAAATTTGCGGCATCCTCATCGATCTTGTACAGAAGGATATTGTACCCTACGTTCCAACCATGATCGAGGATCTGAATTGTTCTCTCAGGTACAGCGCCGAGATGCTGGAGTCTGTGATGATGAACTCCGAGGATGCAGATATTGTGGACCAAGACGTTGACTGGCAGACTTCATACCATGCCCTACTCGTCTACTCCAAAGTCTTGCGCGTCAGTCCAGATTTAGTTCCCCAAGCGGACGCAGTGGACTGGCCAGTCGTAGTCACGCATCTGATTTTTCCACATGCATGGACTCGAACAGTCGCGTGCCGATTGCTTGGATCTCTGTTCGCCGCAAAACCAGTAGCAGCGCCGCGCTCAGACTTGCCTGATGATTCTCCCTTATCTGTGACTGGGATGGAGGATGTAGCGAAGAAGCTGTGTTTGCAGCTTCGAAGCTCCAACCTTGATGCCCCTCTTAGTCTGCAGATAGTCAAGAATCTGTTCTACATCGGCAAGTGTTTCTGCGCCATTGAGTTACCATCCCGCGCTTCGGAGACGGTAGAAGAGCCCTTGGACCAAGATGACGACGAGGACGACGGTGGTCAAATTGATGAACATGAGAAGAGACACCCACTTCCTTGGTTATTCTCGAGACTTTCCTTCCAGGCGAGGCACGCATATACGGCGCGCACAAATAAGGCGTCTAGCTCCGTTTGTGCTTTTCTCACTCATCAAATTCTGAAGATTCTTAACCTCTGTTTGGGCAGGACAACTGGTCACATCAACCTGCATCAGTCCTCAAGTGGTTCGCTGCTATGGTTTCATTCATGGATGCAAGCAAGACAGAGCTCTTCCTCATGCATATTCTCTCCCCCGTGTATCGTATCACGGAAGATGATACCATTCGCGACTCGCAGATGGGTAGGTGCATGTGAATATGCTTTTCTTTGGTATATCCTCATACAGCTATGCCATAGACGAGCTCAAGGCACTGGCAGTGGAACTTCAGGAACTTGTGCAAAGCAAAGTTGGCACCACCAACTTCTCCAATATGTACAACCGCATCCGACAAGGTGTGCTGAATGTTCGAAGAGAACGTAGAACCGCGCGGGTGTTGCAGGTTAGTTCTGCTAATGGTCACAAAGAACATATGACTGACCGCATGGCAGGCAACGACTAACCCTGAAGCTGCTGCGAAGAGAAAATTCCAGCGGAATACTATGAAGAAGGAAAGTCGTAAGCGAAAAAACCAAATATTTGCGTGAGTCTTACGTATTGGCGTTTGGAACATCGTCTCCTAACGCACGATTACAGCGAAGGAAAGGGACGAATCAAGAAGAGGAGAGAGGAGTAAAAACAGTCGTTTACTGTCTTGCACGCTAGTTACACTAACTTATTCATGTCCGCTTACGCATCGTTCCTATCCTTGAAGCTTGAAGAAATGCATCATACTTTCGTGCAGGAGTACGAAAAGATAACTAAGATAGATCCATTACTTGTTCACCGTCCTCGTCGTGAGAATGTGAAGGAAGACATAGCTCGTTCTCCTCTACAACTGCATCGTCATCATCCTCGTTCCAATCACTTGTTGTTTCCCAGTCATTCTCAAACTCGATATCCAAGGTAAGCTCTTCCTCCCCATCACCGTCGTCCGTCAGCGGCATGAATGAAGCGAGTTGGGGTGGTAAGTGAGCATGCGGATTGTGGGAAATCGGCTGCACCCATCGCCGTTCTCGCAATCGTTTATGGCGCTCTCGATCCTCCTCAATTCGTTTGAACACCTCGTTTCGAGGCAACGATGTTGAGGGGGTTGAGGACTGAGTAGTAGCTGACGGTTCTGTTGCCGATGATTCCAGAGATGCTCGGCGACTATCAAGGGTGGCTAACACATCGTCAACTTTCTGCGGATCGAGTACACGCTTGCTCCTCCAGCTTTCCAATATCTGGATCAATGATGAGTCATTCCATGATAACAAGCAGTATAGAATAAGGGGTACCTGTTTTGTACTCATAAGGTTTGGTAGCCCTTGTCTGCCTTCGGGAACAACATAGTCTACGATCTTCCCGAGATCCCGAGTGACATAGTCAACGTAGAGCGAAGATGTTTGACTTCCGTCTTGGACGACAGTCCCGGAGTGCGACCTGGCTAAGAGAGACGTTTCACATAGGGAGTCTAACAGATACAGGATGTTGATCCGGTTGTTAATGGACCCCTGGCGGAGAGCATCTGGATAATTGCACATAAGTTGTGAAAAGATGTCTGACTGACTTTTTGGCACTCCTCCACGATACAGTCCCATAGGTCTTCGCCGCAACCGGAGAAGTATTTTAGTGCATAACCGACCACTTTTTGGATGGACTGCTGAGAGCTGATGAGCCATTTAAGATCTTGCCGTTGTGCACCATAGAAAATACACCCACGCATTTAGCCGCCTCAGTAGAGTTAGAAACTGTATTCTGACTTCGAAGGGATCCATATTTCCGCAGCCTCACACTCAATGTGAGTCGCAGCTGATTGAGCAGTGGTGAAACTTGAAGCACGTCAAGAAACGTCAAGCGCCCAGAGGCGAAACAACATGGCTGTCCTGATATGGAAACTCCTGTCGTTCAGTTCTAAGAGATTTAAGGATGCTGACGTTTATTATTCCAAGCACATACTGTACACTTCGCACATACTAAAACTGGCATAAAGAGCGAACGTCTCGAATTCTCCGAAATTGGGGTTTCTCTCGTGTTCCCATCGACTTTTGAATTGTCACCGAGGCTTTTGTGTGTCGCTATTTGTTGCCGGTGGCATGTCCAATGAGTCCATTCTGGTTACGCTGCGACTGTGCATTGAGTTTCCTCTTAACCACGATTGCCAGACCACCGTCCCGCCAAGCGGTTGATCCCTCTCTTTCTTTTGCATCTTTACCCCCCCTGTTATAGTACAAGAAGTTAAAGAAAGCGGGCCAGCCAACCACTGGAACTGTCGACGAGATTAGAGCACAACTCGTCAAGACAATTCGTTGGAATCTACCACTATAATGTTGTTCCCACTCCCACTATCTTTAATCCTGCTCGTTTCGTCGACTATTGCACAACCTTCTTCGGGTTCTGCAGTTGTACCCTCCGCATCTTTGCCCGGAACTCCACTTAGTTCTGCTTCATTCGCCTCCGCTTCCAGAAGCGGAGCGAGCTCGGTTGTGAATGGATCATCCAGCGTAGTCCCATCCTCGACGAATAGTGCGGAGTTCCCGAGCTTAAGTGGATATTCATCTTGCGGTGAGTTCCATGGTGCAACGTCTGCTGGTCATAGTTGTTCATCGCGCCTGCCAGTTGATCAATGTTTGGACATGGCTATTGCGGACACTGGATGTGCCAGTGTAGTGGATGTGGAATGCTTTTGTACCAAGTACGCTGTCATCTCTGTCTTTTCCGTTCAGTACTCAAGAGGCTGCGAACTTAGCACCACGATTTTCACTAACGGACTGGTTCAATGCTTGGCCGCGCAGTGTCCATCTAGCATCAGTGCGGCTGAAGGCTTATCGCAGCAATTTTGTAACCTTGCGTCTCCGAGCGTGTCGCTCACTTTCCCCTCGGCTTCATTGACCTCGTCGAAGCCGTCTTCCACCCCCCTTTCCTCATCCTCTTCTCGCCCGGCGTCGTCTACATTCACTCCACCTACGATGTCTCACACCGCCTCTTCTACGTTGGCATCCACACCTTCTGCATCCTCGACCACCAGCGGCGCTCTCGCAGTGTATCGAACTCCTGGATTAGATATCGCCGTCGCGACAGCATTAGCATTGGCTATATTCGGGATGGCACTAGGCTGTTAGAGACGATTCACCGGCCTTGGGTGCGGTTACCGCGACCGTACGTATGATGTTCGGTCGATTTTGGCGAAGAGAGACATTGGCGCGCCCTCCATGGATTTTTGTCTGTTTCTACTTCTCAGCTGTTGTGCTCGCCTTTCATCACATAGCATAGTCAGAACCGCAGTACTTCATGTACATACGATACCCTACAATGCCTGCATGATGCGGCACGAACTTACATGATCTGAAACTAAAATTCGGCAAGTGTGTTCAATATGGCGAGGACAAAAAACTCGTTCGCATACGAGGTCATTTGGAAGTCGATACGAAACAAAAACTTGGATAGCTATAGCGCAAAGAAAAAGCAGAACGCACTAGATATATGTCAGTAGTAGAGAACAGCACCTACGAAGCATGGCTACGGCACGTTTACCTAGATCAATACTCCACTGCATCGTCGTCGTCCGCATGCATCGGCGCAGGTTCCTCCTTGTGCTCCTGCTGCTGTACCTGCACCTGCACCACTTCTTTGGCGGTCTCCACAGCAGATGGTGCCGCAGTTGCTGGAACAGCCTCATCCTTATCCACTTCCATCCCAGCCTCACGTTCGGGCCGCGGCGCATCCTGCGTCTCCGGCCTGTTGGCAGTGGAGGATGAGACGTCACCACCGGTGCTGTCTTCTGTGGCCATCACGGCATCCTTATCTGCGGCAGCCGTCGGTGCGCCAGGTCTCTCTCCCGCTTCGGGCTCTACTCCTCGTTCCAACTTCTTGCGCGCGTCCTCTTCAGCGACGCGCTGGCGCAACTGGGTGATCTCCTCGACGCCTGCTGTCCGTTCCTCCCGGAAGGCCACCCATTCCTTCTCCGTCGCCTCCTTCACCTGGTGGTGGTAATAAAAATGAATATGTCGCTGGTCTAGGAAACGGAGGTCGAAAACGCTCACCTCCGCTTGACGTCGCTGGATAAACGTTTCTTGCGCGGGTGTGAGTATTGCTGGAAGGTAGTATAGCGGTGGAGGATGTGTGCGTGGCATGGGAGCCAATGGGTTGGTAGATGGCGGCGGTGGTGTGTCATCGTCCACAGGTATCTGGTCGGAGGTGAGTAGGAAGTTGGCCAGCAGCGGTAGTCGTGTCCGGCGAAGTTTGTGCTACACCATCTCCATCAGCACAAAGACATAAATATGTTAGGACCTGCACAACGCACGATCGAATCCTTCAGCTGGAGCTCTTCTTCTTTCCTATTCGCAGTGGTCTTGTCTTTTTTCGCCTCTTCGGCTCTCCTGACAGAGTCAGTCTCTTTTCGCAGCTTATCCTGTAATCTCTGCTCAATCAAGTGCCGCTTCTTGGCCTAGGAGACAGCGCCCCATCTGTCAGCTCCGTACATGCACGCAGATAGAGGCGCGCGTACCGCTTCGCTGGCGTTCCGCTCCTTATCCTCGTTCTTTGCCTTGTTGAGGGTACCCAACACGAGCCCGAACATAGTCTTGCCGCGTTTACGTTCACGCGACTCGACAGCCAAATCGATCCGCGGTCGCTTCTTGTTTTTGGGAGCCATTGCGGCAGGACCTGTGGGAGGCTCAGAGGCATCTTGCATCTGCGTATCTTCGTTTACATTGGGTGGGGTATCTTGAACTTGAACTTGTCTAAAGAGCGATGAGTACAACAATCAACACAGGAAGAACAGATCACGTACTCGTCGGTCGACATGGTCGAATTCGCCGTAGTCGCAATATAGTAGCAAGGGAAATAACGAAGGTTGGAGCTACGAGCGTCGCAGAGGGCTATCCCTTTCTAGGATGATGAGTAAGATACCACATTTGGGAATCCCGACGTTCATACCCTCCGCCATGCCTCCAAAGACGTTGGCGAAGACAGCGAAGACTTCTACTCGCAAACAGATTGTAAAGCAAGTCGGAAGAACAAAGGCTACCCCGAAGCATCCTTCACCAGTATCTGACACGCTCAGACGGTTCTTCACTTCACTTTGTGCACAAATCGACGGCGGTCACTTCAACAATGCAATCAAGACATGCGACAAGAGTATATCGACATCCTGCATCTAATGTTAGAGCTTGCCCTGATGACTATATGATTTGCAGTACTCCGGCTGGATCCACACGACGAGGATGCCTTGCAGACAAAGTTGTTCTTGCTCCTCCAGACCGAGCAATATGGTACCGCATTGATGCTGATTAGCGACGACGGTGCATTCGCAGGCTATGATTTTGAGAAGGCATATTCCTTATATCGGCTTCACCGTGAGTCAGAAGCGGTGGACGTGCTGGGTGTGATTAAGGAGAAAGATGATTCCGACAACAGAGGGGTGCGACATTTGGAGGCTCAGTTGGTACGTATGCATTATGCTGTAACGTTAGCCCGTCCTCAAGTTCCCTGTACCACCAGGCCTACCGGCAAGACTCATACCAAACCTCGTTCGACCTGTACAATCAACTTCTTGACACAGCGGAGCCGGTAATTACTTTGTAAATACTGCTTTCCGCTCGCTCATTCAACTCACGGCGCATATAGCGGTCAGAGGAACAGTCTGATATTTTGACCAACCTCGAGGCATCGCAGAAGCATCTCGACTTCATCAACATAGACTTCCTCCATGTCCTGGACACGCTACCGTCTTCACTGACAAGCGGCCTTGAGTCTGCCCCACCTCCACAGCCCTTGAGCTCTCTGGCTACTGCCCTGGCAGTTGCCACGGTGACTTCAAATACCCGTGCAGAAGACGATTCTGCGAGGAAAGTGAACACGGTGCGGAAGCGTGTGCCAGCAGGCGTGGTTCCTGGCGTCACACCTCCACCAGACCCGGAGAGGTGGCTCAAGAAGAGCGAGCGCTCAACGTTTGGTCAGGGGAGCAAAAGGCGGAGAGGTGGGGGAGGAGCAACACAGGGCTTGGTGGAGAGTGGGGGAACTGCAGGGCATCAAGGAGGCAAGAGCGGTGGAACGGGCAGAGGCAAGAAGAAAAAGTGACACGGTAGAGGCAAGGCGCGCACCTCGTGCTAGCCATGCGGGCCCATGCTACGTACTTGACATCCTTTGCCTGCAGATTATCTGCCGCGCAGCACACACCTGTCGTGCATCTCAATGCATAAGTACTGACCAGTCTGATTGGCACGGTTATCGCGCGAGCTCGGTGCCAGCGCAGGCCACCTCCCTCGTGTTCATGGGCCTTCGATCGTAGCATCAATACCGAGCTTGAGGAGCTGGTTTATCCAAATTATCCACGGCGTCGAGAACACCTGATGCATGGAACCCTGGTGTTTGGGGAGTCGTCCGAGTCTTCGCCTGTCTTGACGGGTGGAACGCCATCACGTGCTTCCTCCAGTCGGGAATGAGTTCGCTGCGGTGTCGATCGTGCACGACAAATTGCGGCCAATACATGCCTGCCAAGAGAATGCCAGTGATCGAATACCACGGAACCTCGCTTTCAGAGCTGATATTCCAGTCGATGTGGCACGTCCGGCGTAGTCGCGTACCAGGCGTGCTGGGGTGACGGTGCGTGGCGTAACGTATCCTCTTCTCTGGGAGGCTGCTCACTAGCTTAAAATATTTTGGATCGACAATGCGCCATGATGGCGGCAATGATTTATTCTGCAAGTTGCATGTTCGCGTACAAGTTCTCGCGTGGCACGGCATGTTGTGCGCAATAAGTTTAGGCTTCGGCTTTGTCTCCATCTGCTGTGTCATCTCCGCCCTTACTGAACAAAGCGTGCAAAACACCTATTAACCACACCACAATTGGCTTCATCCGTCCTGCTCCCCCAACGTGCCACAATGGACACCTCTCACGCTCCCCTTATAAATGCAGTCCGGGATGTGCATGCAGTAGGTCAGCAACCCCACCAGTGTTCACGACTTTCAAAACACTTAGCAGCCATGTCTCATCATGATGTCCTCGGTGTAGTTGTCCTCGCCCGTAATGGCGACCGCGAAGAATACTACCAGGATCCCGTCACCTATCAGCCGGGCCCGACGCTGAGCACGCCCCTGGGTGAAGTGCGTGGCGTTTTTCCACCTCAACATGTTATTATGTGCTGACTCGTTGAACCTCTGTCAGGTCCAAGCACACCAGCTGGGCCACTACCTGCGCAACACGTACCTGAATCCCGAGTCGTCCTCCCATGTCAAGGGAGTCAATTCCAACCTTGTCGACTTGCAGCAGGTACATGTACGCGTAAAAGTTGGCGGCGAGGGCTCTTCGGTGTTCGACTCCGCCACCGCATTGCTCCAGGGGTTGTTCCCGCCCAACCCGAACAATCGCATCACGCTTGCGAACGGGACCACCGTGGTTGCTCCTCTGAATGGGTACCAGTACATTCCTGGTGACCAGCATTCTACATTCTCAATTCCTGATTCGTACTGAACCTTCTTTAGTTGAGACAGTTGAACCCAGTAATGATCGCTCCCTAGAGTCTTGGACAGACTGCCCAGTAAGTTACCCCGTGCTACATGTGCGCTTCAACTGACATGTCTTTCGTGTAGGCCTTCCAGAAGCACGTTGAGAAGGTTCTGGCTTCTTCCGAGTTCAGAGAAGTTGCCCACGGCGCGCAAGCTTTCTTCACCGATGTCAGGGACTTCGTGTTTGGCAGGCCCACGACTATGGAAAACTGGGTAGGTGGAAGTATCACGACATATGTTTGATGTTCTAACCCGATGCACTTGTCCTGGCCTTATATAGTACAACGTGGGTTGAACGTTGTCCACTTCTAACTGTCATGGCACTGATCTAGGAATCGCTTTGAAGGTCTGGGACTACATGAACACTGAGCTGGTCCACAACAGGACTTACGCCCACAGGCTTCTGCCCACTTTCATCGAGCACGCACGTGGTCTTGCCAACTTCCGAGAGAATGCCATCTTCTCCGATCCGAGCATGGGTGGTATTGGAAACAGTTGCGTCTGCATATCTCTGATGTCCGCGATATGTCTGCTAAATATCGTGATCAGTCGCTAGTCGCACTGCGCTCAGCTCGATCATTGAGTCCCTCCAGCGCATCGCGTACAATGGCGATCCCCTCCAGTTCATGCTCATTGAGACTACTTACCAGCCCTTCATCTCGTTGTTCCATCAGACCGAGATCGTGAAGTCCCACCCCGAGCTCGCGGCCATACGTACGCTTCAATATCTCCATGCTTGAATGTGTCTCACATTCCGTCACAGCCGACTATGGCTCCGCTCTGGCTATCGAGCTGCGTCGGTCCCGTTCTCCCGACACCCGCGACTTCTTGAGGTTCAAGTTCAAGAACGGCACGAATGACGATGAGTTGAGGACCGTGCATGTCTTTGGGCACCCCGAGGATATCCCCCTCACCGAATTCATCTACCGTCTGGAGGTGAGTGGACCGGGTACCGGGCATTGTGGATGGAATTTGACTTTGCTGCGGCGTTTTCGTTAGAACTCGGTCATCAACAGCAATGCTGATTGGGCCAGGGCCTGCCACACCGGTTCGGCTTGGCCCGAGCTTCCTCAGTATGCCTCGACCAGCGCCACCACCGTGAATGTGCTCTGTGGCGTAGCCGCGGCGTTCATTCTGATGCTCGGGTTCTGGCTCGCTTCGAAGTCCGTCCGCCGCTTTAAGCACCGCAACTATGTTCGTCTTCAGGAGGAAGAGGTTGGTCGTGATGGCCCTAATGCAGCTTAAACGCTAATAACGCGGTTCACAGGAGTCCCGGGTACAGCCTTCTCACTTCTCTTACAATGCGACTGGCGAGAAAGCAAGGATGATCAACAGAGCTTGAGCTATTGTTGCTTGATTTGATGGTGCTTTGTGAAGCTGGACACTGCGGGACACTGCTTTTCTGGTTCTTGCTGCATATGTATGTCGCTGGTTTGAGCTCAGTCTGACTCATAGTCTGTTCTATCAATATATTGTCTTGTCGTCGTGATCCATAGATTGGGAAGCTATCATCGAGATATACGTACACGCGTGAGATGCATAATTATTTGTCCAGTTTACGGGAAATCCGGGGGGAAATACATAGGATATCGGTGTTGAAGGTCAATGACGCAGTAACCGTCTACGCGACGGTGAAGGTAGAGGATTGTCCAATGAATGCCTTGATGGGTCCAATAGGAGGATTCGAGTCGCCAAAATACGACAGACGATATGTACCAGCTATGCCAAAAACCACTGTCAGTCACATCATTATTATCCGCATAGTCAGCACTTGCCTGGTGTGCCAGTTTCGATGACCCTGATGTATATATATACAACAGATGTCAGTACCAAAAGACACTAGAGAGCTTGGGACAGACCATTTGATAGTCACAGTGCTGGTACCGAGCACCTGAGAAAGATATGTCACGGAAACAACTCTGTCACAATATGCTACCTACTCACAGTATTAGTTCTTAACCATTCGAATGTGGTCGATGGATGCGAATCTGTTCGGACAGGGCTCCATTGTCCATCGAGAAGCCGCTCGACATATAGGAAGGTTCCTTCAAGGCGAAGATTGTTCTGCGCTCGTATGAATAAAGATCCAAATGTACGCGAGTGACCGACTACTGACCCTTGGATTTGCTCTGAGTTTACGATGGTCCACAATCAACACGATGACCAGATAATTCGAATGAACGGGACCCACCCAACGAATTGTGCGACTACAGTATCACCAGCATGGTATGACTCTGCGGTCTTAACGTCTACAAGGATATCACCGAAACTCTTGAAGAGAGGTGGATTGTCCTTCGTCACAGGTTTCTGGACATAATAAGATTGGAAGACAAATGTGGAATTGGAGGGAAGTAATGTGACATGCCAGTCATGAGTGACAAGGCAAAAGTACTGAGGAAGATATGTGGGCATACCTGCATTGAGATGACCTTGCCCGTTAGATCTGGCGGGGCCGGATCCGATGAAGGTGCTGAACTGGTGTGAGCCGCGAGGTACGGCACCAAGTTGGTATACTGGTCGAGGTATGCTTCAAGCGTAACTGCGGACACGAAGGGTTGAGAAGGATCAGCGAAGGGGAAATTGCCGGCTTACATGGGCCAAACACCGTAGATGCGCCCTCATAACGCTGCACCGCATATTCTTCTCTAGTTGTCACATAGTGAGCGTACGTGTTAGCAGGACCTGCAATGACGACATAGGCATCCTCGCCGATCACTCCAGACGAGATGAGCTTCGCGCGAATTAAGTCCCTGGTTGATTGTTCATTAATTCGTGCGAGTATCTGGTGAATAGCCAACTAACCGCATGCGTCTTCCGGCCATGGTGGTCATCTCCCCAGGAACGATGAGCATGACAAAGTTGCCTACGCGTAACATCTGCATATCAACAGTGTTCGGCGACCAATCGTATGGTTGCTTCGCATAACCCTGAGAATCCAGTTGTCAGCATACGTCAGGAACTAGTGTTACATCGACCAACAGCGTTGAGTAGGATAGGCTTGGGATATTGGCATTCAATTTGTTCACGAGGGGGCAGGGGGGTAAGAGCGCCTGGTTGATAATCAGCACGAGCCTGACTTCACTCCGCCAAAATGAAGACCTTTGACAAGTTCCCAGAATGGATTCCTGACCATTCCGTCAGCCGCTGGACTCGTCAGTTACGATGTGAGTGCTTACCGTGAATTTGACGAGTTATCTCCTTGAATAAAGTCAAAAGCCCCTGGGCCGTCCCTGTAAAGTCGATGAATGAGGCACTACTGAATAATCAAGGAGTAACTTACGATGTTCCTCCGGCGAACGAATAGCCTATGAGGTTATAAGTATCAGCGCTGATCCTAAAGCAGAGGATGTGTAGCTGACCCAACGCTGAAGGACACGTTCGCACGGTGGTGCCATTTGGCAAAGTGAAAGGTCGGAATGACCTATTCAGTAATCAGATCCGGGGCCAAACACCTTCACACAGCGCCAGATGACGCACATATTCAGATACGTATGAACCCACTTCACTGGGCCGCTAACCGGAGACAAGGCCTGATCCATCAATCTCTTCGCGCCGTCAACTTGATATTGTGCAATCATGCGGTTTGACTCAAAATCGGATATCCGGAAACCTGGTCCACTATCGCGCATGCGTAGGATCACACTCGATGGTATGGAATACTCGAACTCGACGTACCGTCCTCGGCAGTCCTGTGTCCTATTTCCACACGTGGAATGGTGGAATTCGCAGGGTTTACCATCCCAGGGTTTCCCTGGGCTCTCGCATAATGGCCCCAGACTGAATTAAAAGCGCATTGGGTCAGAGCCAGGTAATGAGGAATCGGATGATCCCTCACGTGTTCGGGCTCGTGTCCCCAACATTCGCTGTGCAGATACATTAGATCCAGAAGATAACCAGGATGCTTGAGCATACGTACATTGGGTGAATCCTGCTACAAATGTAGTGTTACCAGGCATAGCAGTCGGCTCCATCATAGCTGGATGAATGTTACGTATCAGAAACACTATGACTAAACCGACGTTCCGAACCACTCACCCTCATACATGTACGCAGCCATTCCCTTGTTATCACCACTCACGAGAGTGTTATTCTACGAGCAGGGATTCATATCTGTATTGAGGGAAATACGCGCTTTACAATATACCTGATAGATGCTGGTACCATGGACGGGGAAGAAGCTCAGAAATCCTCTTGCATTTCCATCCGTGTCGTCGAAGCGGAGTAGCGTCATATCCTTGTCGATGTCGTGCTGATACCTAGCTCGTTCTTCTGCTGGGTTCGCAAGGTAAGCGCTTGGCGACCGGTTGATGTTCGCGTTCAGGATGGTCGTATTACCGAAGCTGAGCTTCCCGGGCGACAGATTAGCATGCGCGCGTTCTACAGCAAGTACAGTTCCAGAAACGATAGCGTCCGCGGTCTGTTTCACGTAGCCAAGGGAGGTGATGTGGGGTAAGAGGTTCTCGAGATAGCCACCGACACCGCTGTGCGAATGTGTGGCGACGAGAGCGACATTATCGTCCGTGTATAATCCAGGGAATCGGGTAGACAGCTCGGACACGATAGAGCGACGAACGCCACTGTCTCCCATTCCAATGTCTGGCACCACCAACAATAGTTAAGACAAGAACCATCAGGATTGCAATGAGACAACCATACCGGCGTTGATAAATACGATGCGATTGGAGGGCTCGGATGAATCAGCGACAATCCACGCGCGACTTCGTTGTCGCATATGTAACCCAGTATCCGTCTGGTGTTGATCAGCGTAGCCCTAATGACGAATGAGCGGACATTGTAAATCGAGTTCAGTCAAGTTACCCACCATCATGTTGGTTTCGACCACCGGACTAACCTCATGCTGTGAGAACTACACGCAAAGACGGACATCATAGTAATTACCCAGTAATATCGCCTATACCTAACGAACAGAAGTGGTAGTTAGCCGGATAGCCCGTCGAATTCGCTGCGACGGGTCGAACCTAGGCCAATCAAATATTCAGTGGATGTAACTTGGACGCCAACGTTTCCTTGCAAGCTCTGCGGGTACATCTTGGTTGACGCCAGGAAGGCGCTGGTCCACAGAAGGGCTCTGCTCATAAGCTCCATGAACAAGTGCATGATGTTCCAGACACCTGAGTCCTCTCCCAGGTCCGAGGCGTCCAGGAGATACATCTTGGCTATCAAATCGACCTGATCGATAAAGACGTTTGACCTGGCGAATGGTCTTCGGAATACAGACAACTTGTGACGTTCAGATTGACCAGTGAAAACGCAGGACAAGAAGGGATAAAGCCAGCCCTCGTCCTTACAGCTGAGCAATGTAAACGATGATGTCCTCGGCGGTGTACGAAGAAGGCCTTACACAAAGGTTGGGATACATAAAGTTTGAAAGGGTGGGACACCATCGCAACGTTGTCGGCGCAGGAATACACACGCGAGTCCACCACGGAGACGCCGCAGCGGATCTTCGGCGCGATCTAATCAAATCAAATCGTTGCACTCCCAAGAGGCAGCTCGTGACAGCTATGTATCACTGCAACATGATAGACTGGCGGAAAGTACTTAAGGATGCTCGTGAGCACCGCCTGCTCTCACACCATCCACACAAAGCGCGTACGACTTACATAGTATGTAACTTAACACTATGACGGGCCGCGGCCCCGGCCCGCTCACACCTTGGCCATGGCACACACGACTCTCTGGCTGCAGTCTCAGTAGAAGTATGCCATGCCAGATGTATGTATCTGTCAGCATATTTACCGGTTTTTTTTAACTAGGAGTTGATAACAATGCAGTTGTACCTACTTCAAGGTCCAGATGCCCATGGATTCAGCTCATTCACTGCCAGAACCTTTATAAGTATGCGATAGGTGGGTTGTACGTTCGACTTACCAGCACGACGCGGATACAGACCGCGACGGACATCCATCCTGTCTGTTTTTCTTTCTAGTCGAGCGTTGAGGCATGCCATTCCCAGCTGCAGATAGTAAGTATAAGAGTCCATGGATCGACCCCCGTCCTCAATCAGACCTCCGCGGCATCCGTCCACGCGGTCCAACCGCGGAAACAGTGTAACAAGACAGGAAGCTACCATGTCCATCTTTCCGAATGTCGAGTTCATGAGATCGAGCTTTCTCATATGGGAATTGGGCACGAGGGCCGCCAGAGCGTCACTGTCGAGGTCATCCGATTCAGCATTGATCGCAATGCTCAGCCTGGTGAGTTTAGGACAGAGTGTCACCAAACGAGCAAGTCCTTTGAAGGTGACCTCAATCGACTCTACCCAAGAAATCTGCAACATGAGAATGTATAGCTGTGGCCAAGCCCGTGCCATCCTCTCCAATGCCAAGTTGTCCACTTCAAAAGACGAAGGCGATTGGATCTGGATGATGCGCATATTCGAGAAACATAACAATGGCTCTAGTGTTTCTGAAGTGACAGTGTGTCTTTCGTCCAACTCTTTTGGCCATTTACTGAACTCTACGCCCGGAAGTCTGACGACGCGCAACGAAGAATGCGAACACCGATCACGAAGTGTTTCCAGAAATTGCAGAATTTCGGCAGCAGTGGCGGGAATGAAAGCATGCATCCAAATCTCTTCCAATTTGAATGCACGCATGAGGTCCAGCAAGTGAATACAGGAAACCATGCTCTGCAGTCTGAGCGATAGCTTTGTCAGGTGCATGAAAGGTGGATAATGATCGGGGATGGTAAGAAACCCGAAATCTGTCGCGTCTGGTTTCTCTATCGCCACATTGCATAGACGAGGCATTCTGCATAGGTGGCTAATGAAGTCGTCGGTCCACGCCTGGTAATGGACGACGAATTTCCGCAAGTTCGGGCGCGTGAGTGCGATAGCATGTATTGCATCGACGATGCATTTTGGCTCCATACCGTACATTTCGAATTCGAGTAAAGATGGGCATATATCGAGGAGAGACGTCAAAGTGGATACAATGGGCGAATATAGAGAGGGATCGAGATTTGCTCTTGAATTATGAGACAGTGCCAGTGAGAAGGATTTCAGGCTGGGCCCAAAGAATAGCGATACAAACTGCAATGCATCAATTTGATGGATATTCCAGCGCAGTGCCCCAAGATTAGGAAGGAGAACCTTGACAGGCCGGTACAGACTGAGTGAAGTGTAACAGTGTGCATCGATTGCACAATCCGGGGGGATTGCGCAGGACTGCAGCAGCATCTCGAATTCTTGGTCGCGGAACTCGATGTCGCGAAATCCAAGACGTCGAATGCGTGGCGAATAGTAGAGGAATCTATCCCAATCGGTGGACACTAGAGGCCTCATCACAGTCTATCAACAACCATGAGTAAGACACTTTGTGAGGGAACTAAAGATAAGGACTCACTATGATACATTGCTTCTCGCCATATGTATTCAAGGTATCTGATTTGCACCATGCATCCTGAGGCAAAGTTTGTATCAATGGCACAAGTGTTATCAGGTTATGCCAGAGGATGTCAAGAGCCGGTTCCTTGAAAGCTTGACAAGTCATGGCCATGCGAAGGACAGTGTGATAACCACCATAGGTATTCCACATGTATTCCTCCGAGGGTGACTCTAAGTGCCACATGATTTTTGCATAGTCAATGATGGTCAACAGAATCTCATTCACTTGGAGACAGCGATGCATCTATATGCTCGAATTATAGCGTTAGTTTCGGATATCGAGGATACAGGGACGTCGCAGACGTACTGTGACTGAAACCGACTGAGCCACAGTGTTGAAAGCAATTATCGAAATGCTCTACCCAAAATACTCTCCTACTCGCACTGGCCGATGTCGCCAAGTGTGGAGGCTATTGTTACGCGTCGAGATCACCAGTACGTATGTCGACGTGTGGTTATTATAATAATACCTGACCTGCTGCCTGCCAGAGTGTTTGTTCAAGTTCAGGAACACTACAATCGCCCTTCGAAGACCAATCACATTGTTCTGTTGCCAAGTTCAAGTTGGGTAGGGTGCAAGAGGTTGCAGCGACCTGTGGGGACTTCAAGTTGGCTATCGGGGCGCAGGCGGTATCGGCACAAACAAATGATCGAACTCGATCGCAAGCGACTAACTAGGACCCCGGATTATAGGTGAACAACCCTGATCCGACGAGCCCAAAAATGTCTAAGCGCCGAAACTCGAAAATCGACCTTTGTGTCTGGATGAAATCAGGGTGAAGTGCCAATTTCCCCCCAAATCTTGTCTGGATGGCGGCATCAGGCTCCTGAAAGCGCCATTTTGGCGCTCGCCGAGGGCTCTCTGGGGACAAAATGTCTGCACCAGCACCAGGCTTTTCAAAAAATTTCTCCCAAACTGTCTGGATTATATCAGGGTTGTGCGTGGATTTCGCCCAAAATTTGTCCGGATGGCACTCAGGGTTCCCCACCTATAATCCGGGGTCCTGACTAACTCTGACTAACTCTATTTCTTCTTCAGAGAGAAAGTAGTCCAGCCACGTTAAGGGATAGCACGCACTACAGCGGCGAAGAGAACGGGCAGGAGGCACATTATACATAAGTATCGATAAAAAATGCAAGGCGAAGTCCAATGTATGTGAATGAGTCTACGAAGTCCATGGTATAATGATAAAAGCCTCTCTCGACCAAATTTCTAGATAAGAATGCCCTACGAGGCCATTCCTGCATTAGAACCGGGAACAGCAGAATCACATTCCATGTCAATAGCGTTGGGGCCATTTTATAATTGCGTGTGCTGGGATAGACTTTGCCTCGCTGCAGTCATCACACTTGAAGGGCCTGAACACCGATTCTGGCAATCAAAATTAACAACAAACATTTGTCTGGAGGGAAATTCCTGCCAACCTTCACATACTCTCCTACCGGATGTACAACTACAATCTGCATATCCACACCACTCGGTTTGTATCTGCATATCACCCGTCCTCATATCAATTGCAAGTAGATTTGTAGTTCGACACAGAGTGGACGCACCTGTGTATGCGTGTGACAACATATATAATGAACAAACACTCTGGAGAAGGTCAGTGAGTAAGAGAGGTGGTAGAGATTGAGTGATGAGACAGACAGGTGTCTCTCGCAACTCCTCTTCTCAGCGAACGCAGTTTCGGAGATCCGCTTCTTACAGAGAAACATTTATCGTGGCCACGACAGAATGGTGAATGAAGTGAATAGAATAGGAGTTGTTCGCGCACTTTATATCATTCATAGTGCGGCGGCGGTTACTTGAGAAGCTTGGCTGATGGCTCACTGCAATCTGACCAAAAGCCTCATGGTTCTCAATCAGCGAGGTCGCCTACAACAATGACAGAGTGAGTAACTAGCGCAGAGATAATTCTTGAGGATCAATCTCTTTGCCATAGCAAAATAGAGCTGTAACGTGTTGTCCTCACGACAGGGAGGATCTCGCGGTCGTAATACTAAGTAAGAACTTGGTGGTTGTGGCGGAGAGATGGGTCACACAAAGTCTTTCTTCGCCGTCTCCATTTGCTCCTGACAACGTCCATGACTAAAGGAAGAGGCAATAGGCAGCTCACCTTGGTGTCCGGAGTCACAATTGGTCCATTAGGCGGATGTCGCGTTAGCGCCTTGGTAGAAGACAATTCCACGATTGCCAGGTGTTGGACTGCACAACCGGTAAGGGCTTCTCAAAGATCACATACCTACGACTAGAATAAGTATGCTCAATAACAACGTTGCCAGCCGTAGTTATTGTCGCTGTTACAATTGAAACCCCTTCCGCCGTTCACCTAATAAGGAAGGTCCGCGTCGGCACAAGGATGGAACCAACGTCCACCCACAGCTGGCAAAGCAAAGAAGTCGTGGTACATGTTCCGACTCAACAGATATGCAGTGACCGTCTTACAGAAAGGTCGCACTAAGGATCGTTCGTTCCTGCGCAGCGGCGTAAGGTGGGCATAAGTATCCAAGAGTAGCGGTGTGCGCAGCTTGACATCGCAAAAGCTACGGCAGGCAGGTCGACTTAGATTGCAGATCCCATGCTAAGCGGACAAGGCAGGGACACATGGACATACAGGTTATGACAGAAGTCCCATATTGATAGTTGAGGATAAAAGTCCCCGCAGTGTGTATATGTGATGCCACCTTTTAGCTACAAGTCGAAGCCTGAGAGACAGAACATAAATCTCGAAAGTTGATAAGGCAAGAATTCGTCCACCCCTCACTTCGTTCTTCAGAGGCAGGGAGACAACGCGTCGCATTTCAGTAAGACCTAGTCAATTTGAGTGTGAGCCATCAGGAGACATAGCACAACGTGCGCCAAGAGAGAGATACCAGAATATCGAGAAATGAGTAGCGCAAGAGACGAATAATTCTGAGAGACGTGGGCGCACTAGATAGAGGGTAGTGCCCACTGGAAAACGAGTAAACGAGTAAATTTAACAGTCACTGGAGGCAAAAGTGGATGTTCTGCCTTGGAACAGTGTCTGAACATCCAAGGAACAGATTACATTTTTGGACATGTCACATGTTCTGAACATGGTAAGGAACATCTAATATGTCTCGCACAATGTTCCATTGGAGAGCATGCTGGAGACATGTTGCATGTACCATTCTGGAACATATAATATGTCTCACACAATGTCTCATTGGAGAATGTCCTGCAGACTTGCTGCATGTTTCATTCTGGAACATTTATCATTTTGCTACTATATTCTGGGCTTGTCTCTTGGTGCAATATGCTCTGTATAATAAGGATTTCCCATGGCCAAACACATTACATTTCTGGCCGCCGTTAATCTTCAGAACATTGTGAGAAGATGTTAAGTGCTCCTACTCCAAACATACAAGATGTCCTGGGCACCAAGAACATTTGCAGTACATGTAAAATTTTAGTATGATTTTAGTATGTATCATACATGTACTGCAGATGTTTTTGGTGCCCAGGACATCTTGTATGTTTGGAGTAGGAGCACTTAACATCTTCTCACAATGTTCTGAAGATTAACGGCGGCCAGAAATGTAATGTGTTTGGCCATGGGAAATCCTTATTATACAGAGCATATTGCACCAAGAGACAAGCCCAGAATATAGTAGCAAAATGATAAATGTTCCAGAATGAAACATGCAGCAAGTCTGCAGGACATTCTCCAATGAGACATTGTGTGAGACATATTATATGTTCCAGAATGGTACATGCAACATGTCTCCAGCATGCTCTCCAATGGAACATTGTGCGAGACATATTAGATGTTCCTTACCATGTTCAGAACATGTGACATGTCCAAAAATGTAATCTGTTCCTTGGATGTTCAGACACTGTTCCAAGGCAGAACATCCACTTTTGCCTCCAGTGAGTCACCCCAGATCGCGTCACTCACGTGGTCGACGCGTGTGACGTGACTGTGACGATCGTTCGGGGCATGCTCCGCAAGCGGCCTCACCTACCGCCGCCATCTTCCCCAAACATCTTGTTTATCTTGTCACCTATCATTTCCGAGTTTCCGAGACAAATACGACGACATTGAAGTTGCTACCTTACACCGGTTTCCTTGTACGCATTCCTACAGTGGCTGCAATTCATTTGTCTCACAAACCTGCTCTCGAGCCCGAACGTATCCCAGAGTCATTGCCAAATCTTCCTTGCTTTTTTTGTTCAGTTCATTTGATAAGACAATAGGTAAAGCTGATGTGTGGATCAGTATCCATCATCAAACTCACAGTATGCGGTCTAGAGATCGTCCGTCTTTGACTATGCGGACGCGACGCAAGGTTCTTCAGGACAGGACTCCGGGGAATACGCCACAAGCGCACAAGTCCAGTCGCGCCCACATCGCGACTCCCACCTCGAAGCAGCGCATACTTGGCAGTCCCAAGCGTCCGCCTCTTCCCGCGTTCACTGTAGATGATGGCTCGCAGACACTTCCATCGTTCGGTGAGGGCCTTTCTCATGGATCTCTGTTGACTCTAGGCGCCAGGCTTGAGAACCTGGACCCTGCGGTGGACCTATTGCGAAGTCCGTCTGCCAAACGCAAGACCGGTCGTGCAGCAGCCAGGTTACCTATACAGTCTACTCCTCTGTCTTTCTACCGCAGACCTCAGAGATCCGTGGGCAGTATCCTTTCCATCCGAAGTCCCTCTCGCGTGACCCAACCTACAAAACGTGCTATGTCGCCACTTCCGCCGTCTTCTCCTCCCTCCGCTTCCTCTGTGGCGCCATTGGGGTACGAGAATGAAGAGAATGAGGACAAGGAGAACGTTCATGCGCCCATTCCCGACATTGCCGAGCATCACAGTGCAGAGACGAAGCAAGATAGTGACCCATTCGGATTTCTTGCGGTAGAGAGGAAGCTGAAGGCCGCGAGAGATCGACAGCCGCAGCGGGGAGGTTTGATGAAGAATGCACGCAAGACGCGTTCTGTTCAACGTCGGGCACCGCTCGGGCAGCTCTCAATTCCGGTGCCTGTCGCTCCACCGTCACCGCCTCCTCCCTTACCTACGCCACCACCTGCAGAGGACGCCGACGATGACCACAACATTGACGACCTCTATTTAGACAGTCCACCTCCGCGTCGCCGTGCAGTATTCGCAGAAATCACAGGAGGACCTATTTTTTCTGCTGCTGATGTCGAGGCGGAGATTGAGGAGGGTGGTGAAGACAGAGAGAACGCATATTTTCCCCATCCTACGATGCCCGATTTTTCGCCTTCGGTTGCCGAAAATGATGAGGACAAGGAGAATGCGCCTGCTCGTCTTCCTGCGCTGGTCGATTATGCATCTCCAGACGTCGAGGAAGAGGACGACGACAAGGAGAATGCTCCTGTCCGTCTCCCGCCGATGGTCGATTTCGCGTCTCCAGACGTTGAGAATGACGAAGACAAGGAGAATGCCCCTGCTCGTCTTCCAGCCATGGCCGACTATTCAGACGTCGAGGATGGCGACGAAGACAAGGAGAATGTCCCTGTCCGTATTCCGGCGATGGTTGATACCATACCTCCTGATGCCGAGGATGACGATGGCGACGATGATGATCAGGAGAACGTTATAATCGTCCCTGCTATTATCCCGCAGGAGGCGCTTCTGGCTGCTACCAGCTCGTCGTCTTCCCGGGATGACCCCCTCCGGACACCGCACAAACCGCGCAAGCGCTCCCCCCTTCCTACTCCATCTTTCTCATTGTCTAGCTCCGCTGTTTCGTCCCCCGTCGAGGAGCACGTTCGCGCGCAGAGTCTTAGTCGCAGTCTCGCGGTCGGCGCTCTGTCCTCGCTGTCTCCCGTCAAGCCTTTGTCTGCCTATCGTCCACGCCCGAGCGTTGCACCGCATCCGGCACCCCACGATGTCGACATCTCCGTGCAGACTGCCAGTGAAGACGAAGGCAAGAAGTCGGAACCGCAGGCAACGACGGGCAAGAGGAAGCGTACAAAGGCAGATGAAGGGAAGAGCGATACGGAGGAGGATCCGATGGTCGTCTCCCGGAATTTGGAGAAGCTGCTACCGCGGAGGCCGACTAAGCTACCCGCTCGTGGATCCGGGCCATCTACACGTGGACGCGGGAGAGGGAGACGTGGTGCGAAGGGCAAGGGGAGGGCTGTGGAGAGTGCAAGTGAGAGCGAGAGCGAGACGGAGAGCGAGGAGGAAGAGGTGGCCACTAGGAAGACGCGCGGTGCGGGCAGAGGGCGCGGTGCAACTAGGAGCAGAGGCAGAGGCAGAGGACGGGGTAGAGGAAGGGGAAGAGGCAGGGGAAAGAGTGTTGCGCCGAGCGATCGGGTAACTCGAGCGTCTACTGCCAAAGGTAAGGGGAAGGTAAGGGCTCCTGCTGATGAGGACGTGGATGTGGACGAGGTACATTGAGCATCCTGAGACCTTGTCCTCGTGCATGCTGACATATTTTCACGAAGGAACGAGCTCGTGAACGGCAGGCCCGTATCGAGTACTTCCGCAAGCTGGACGAGTACAGCATCGAGAAGGAAGACGTGTACGTTGTCTAATCGTTGCGGAAAGATCTAGGTCGTGTCGTTGTCTTGCTTTTGCTCTTGCATTCTGTTTCATGTCTCACCCGAGATCCTGTATCTCTTGATTCACGGTAAGTGTCTGGTGGCTTGGAGATCCACGGCGGCTGACCATGAGGTTTCATTTTGTAGAGTCTCCGCATTGTATGACTTATTACTTTATGCATAAATCCAGGGCAATAGTTGTCTGTAACAACACGCGTCTTGTCCGAATACATTTACTAATCTCCACACTCCACTTGTCGGAAGACCTCCGAAATGTCAGATGCCCCCGCAGGAAAGCTCTGCCTCCTGCCCCGGTCTCGCCGCAGGGGTTCTGTCAGTGTGCTGATATTCCCCGTGGGCGGCCCATCTCGCTTCTGACTCCACAAATCTGATCTCTGCTTGCATCCCCGATCTTCGCAGATCCTGGATACGTGATAACGATGCTGTCGCCGTCCGGAGTTCGATCATCGTCTTCTAAAAATTCGCGCTGGCGGATCCGGTGCGTCTGGCATGGTGACGCTGTGCGCAAGCCGGTCTCGGGTCGGCAGTTTTAATCGCGTATCCGGTCAGTTTTCCACAGCATCTACAGCATCTGAGTAGTTAATCCACGTCCGTCCGATCAGACACACCAAATTCTACAACCTCCGGGTGCGACGGTCGGGGTGCAGTGAGTTCAGCATCCGAAATTCGCACCTGTCGACCTCGCGCTCCTTGTCCAAGTCTCCTCTCCTCCAATCTCGGTCGTCACATCTATGCAGGGCATTCATTCCCCTCCCTTCCTGTCCACTACTTCTTCTTAACAACAAGGGCACACGGTTCTGCAGCACGTAAGGTAACTCCAACATGACCACCGTCCCCTCTCACCCACGATGCAGAAGATCCGGTGGTACGTGCACAATACAATCCCACATGAACTAGGCCATACATCGTCGAACGATGGACCTTGTCCAGGTCGACGCGCAAGCATACGAACCAACAGAACTCCCTCTGGGTTTCGGCAAGAACCACCACCGGGTCCGCGGGAGCACAACGAAAAATCTCAAGAACTCTCCGCAGAGACGATCCTCTCCTCTCCTCTGGACGACCCAGTGGATCCGACGTCGGCGTCGAAAGCACATCAGATATCTCGCAGCGCACAGACGGCCGCACCGGAAAAGCGCGGCGGTCCTCCGCCGCGGGCTTTCAGTGCTCAACGGAAGTACGTAGTAACTCCAAGACGCACCGGACCACAGGCGGCGGCGGCGGAACCCCTGCCAGCGCGCGCCGAGTCGGGCGTCATGACGTGTTTGTCCATCGTCCCGACGACCAATTCTGTGAAGAAAGCCCCAAGTTCGCGTGTGGGCGCGACGACTGGCGAGCCGGGCACAGCGTGCTGGTGGTACATATACAACGCCCCGAGAACGGGTTTGCGCGCGTCATCTGCGAGAAGCGGCGTGTAGGGAGGGAGCGCATATACGCCGGGCCTGCGATTTGTGGTCCAGGCGGCGGGAGGGACGCAGACGCATGCGCCGCCACTCGGATCTATATATGTGATGCAGTTCGCCGCCCGCGAATGTGCCCCGCACGCGGTGAGGTCCGACTGCTATAGCCGCATGCAAAATAGTCAGGTTTAATTGAGACGCAGATCCGGATGCTCTTGCTGTGTGATGGACCAGAGGGTATGAGGGAGTCGCTGTCGGCTTGTCCTGCTGCTGTACGCGGGAAGACGCGACGGCTTTCACGCGTAGTCACTAGATGATATACGTACATGTATGCGCCGGTACATAATGAGTAACTGCCAGGGGAACATTTCAGCGTCGTGAACTGAAGGAGGCAAGGGTACTCACATTACGGTGGAGCCAAACCACGAGCAGGAAGGATAGCGATGATCCTTCCAAACAGTTCACGTAGAGACTCACGACTCTGTCTCCCCGACACCGGACGACAGCAGGGCCTCCTCCTCGACCAACCGCATGAACTTCTCCAGCTCCCCCTCGGCCATCTCATAGCTCTCCGCCGCGACGGGGAAGGTGCGCTCCCTGACCGCCTGCAAGTAGCTCTTCACGCCGCCCTCGACCGCGCCGGCGACATCAGCAAAGCGGCGGACGAACTTGGCCTGGTGGCCGCCCCAGGTGCCCATGACGTCGTCCCACACGAGCACCTGGCCGTCGGTCTCGGCGCCGGCGCCGATGCCGATGGTGGGTGCGCGGCGGAGGCGGCGGGTGATGTACGCGGCGAGGGGGTGGGGGACGGCCTCGAGGACGACCGCGAACGCGCCGGCGTCCTCGAGGGCGAGGGCGGCGCGGAGGAGGGCGAGGGCGGCGGGGGCGTCGCGGCCCTGCACGCGGTAGCCGGAGAGCATGGCGTGGCGCTGGGGGAGGAGGCCGACGTGGGCCATGACGGGGATGCCGGCGGCGGTGAGGGCGCGGACGGCGGGGACGACCTCGGAGCCGCCCTCGAGCTTGACGGCCTCGGCGCGGCCGTCGCGGACGAGGCGGACGGCGCTGCGGACGGCGTCGGCGGGGGAGGCGTGGTAGGTGCCGAAGGGCATGTCGGCGACGAGGAGCGGGGCGGTGGTGCCGCGGGCGACGGCGCGGGTGTGGTGGACCATCTCGGGGAGGGTGAGGCGGGTGGTGGAGGGGAGGCCGAGGCAGACCTGGGCGAGGGAGTCGCCGACGAGGGTGATGTCGACCCCGTGGGCGTCGCACGCGCGGGCGGTGGGGAAGTCGTACGCGGTGAGCATGGTGATGGGTGTGCCCGCGCGGCGTAGTTTGTGCAGATGCTCGATGGTCACCTTCCTACGGGCTTTTCATGGTGCGGGTGAGTAAAAAACGAGGGGGAGAGGACAGGAGGGGACGTACGTGCGGCAGCCGGGTTGTCCTCTGGGCGGACGCTCATGCATCTCCGGCTGAGGAAGCGAGTAGTTGGGTGACAGGGAAGGCGGGACGAACAGAGACCGAGTAGAACTCGCATGCTGGCAGCGACTCAGCGACGGCGATCACGCGGAATATTATAGTTCTGCTCAGGAGGTGTATCCGCTCTGGGCACAGAGCTCAGCGTTTTTAGCATCGTACGACTTCTCGCACAGTCGCGAGAGAAAGACGCAGTAACTTATATGCCCTCAGCCGAGTCATCTTCGTCCAGCTCGACATTCAGGTCACCTTTCGTGCTTCTGGCATTCTAAACAGAGAGCCTCCATTTTCTACCAACGACGTGTGTCGCAGCATGTTAGTATTGCATGTACTTATTACAGCGACAACCCTAACTGGGACCCATGCCGGTAATATACCTACCTATAAGTAATGGCGGCTTAGAAAAACCGAGGAAGAGAGCACGAATAGCTGCTAGTGCCGTCAGACCAGCTGCGAATGACATCAGTGGCGCTGTGCGCCGATATTTCTTTCCTTTTCCAGCATCTCCCCTTCCCGTTTTGGTATCAGACTTACCCGACGACGTCATCCCTTCAAGAGAACGTCTTCGCTCTCGTGTAGGACTAATCAGAGAGGCCGGAAGGTCCTGAGCTGAGAGTGCTGTACTTTGATGGGTGATTGTGCCTTGAAACTCAGTCTCCTTCCAATGATGTTTCTAATCAACTCTCCCAACCCCTTCTGGATCCAAGACCTACGCTTTGAGGACGCGTAGAGAGCGCGACGTCGCGTACAGTAATATAATACTCCCATCCGAGCTCGCGGCCTTTCCTCCTCGCCTCCTCGCGGCCCTTCCTCCCACGTTCTCCAGGCACGTATGCTCCACCGCCCTACCAACGCAGCTCCAAAGCTACTCCAGGGAAGATGTAATTATCGTCGGCGAGTGGAGCAAGAAGAGAATCGTGGGAGTCGAGAGATATGAAACAGCGCGGGCGGCTAACCTTGCTATATTGGGCACGCATGTCTCTCTTTTACGCCCGGGGCCTGCATCGAGGCTTCAAGCCTCTTCCCCTCCTTCTGCTCTCTCCTCTCCTCTCATGTATTCCGACACAGAGGGCCCTCACTTGTCCACCAGAGACTCGGGCTCCGGCTCAGAGTCCGACCAGCCAGACCCTGCGGTGCCCTTCGTGCCCCATCCTCCTTCCGTATTCCCCGCCGCGTCGGGTGCTTCCACCCCTCGCGACGACTCTGCGATCCCTACGCCCTACTCCGACCCATACCAGCCCTCGGGCGACCTCCTCGCGTCCTCTGAGGGCCTCACAAACCGTGTCGACGGTATCCCCCAGTCCAAAGAGCTGGACGCCGCAGAGGCTTCCGCCGCCTCCGATGCTGCTGCCCGTCGCTACACAAAGCGCCCTTTCTACACCCGCCCGCTCTTCTGGCTCGTCGCCTTCATCCTCCTCGTTGTCGTCGTCCTCGCCGTCGTCCTTCCCGTCTACTTCCTCGTCGTCAAGAAGCACAACCACTCCAACGCCTCTTCTTCCTCCAGCTCTGGCTCCTCCAACGGTCCCCTCGGCACACCCCCAAACACGCCCTTGACAGCCACCAGCGGCGGAAATGGCACCACCGTCACCATGCAAGACGGCTCCACCTTCACGTACATAAACCCCTTCGGAGGCTACTGTGCGTCCCTTCCTCTGCGCACGCTCACCCGAGCAAGCTGACACGTCCCGCCTCCCCCGCGCAGGGGTGTCCGACCCGTCCGACCCGTGGAACAACACCGCGCGCGTCAACTCGTGGACGCCCGCGCTCAGCGAGAACTGGACCTGGGGCCAGGACCGCGTCAACGGCGTGAACCTCGGCGGGCTCTTCGTCCTCGAGCCCTTCATCACCCCCGCCCTCTTCCAGGCCAACCCCGGCGCGGTCGACGAGTGGACCCTCAGCACCGCCCTCGCCGGCAACGGCACCCTCCAGCAGACGCTCGAGCAGCACTACGACACCTTCATCACCGAGCAGGACATCGCTGAGATCGCCGGTGCGTCTGCCGTCCGTCCTTACGCTGTGCTCGAGTCCCCACCGGGCGCCAGACGCGCACTGGCGCCCGGTGGCGTCGATTTGGACGTCGAATTTGAAGTCGCGCTGAGCGGGTGGCGACGAATGCTGATCTGACTGCGCCGCACAGGCGCGGGCCTGAACTGGATCCGCGTGCCCCTTCCCTTCTGGGCCATCAACACCTGGAGCAACGTCGGCGTGGACGCCACCGGGGCCGCCGTCGCGGAACCGTTCCTGGCGAGGACGTGCTGGAAGTGAGTGCATCCGCATCGTGGGCACTCGTCCCAACGGCTGACGCATGCCGGGCGTTCCGCGAAGCTATTTCCTGCGCGTCGTCGGCTGGGCGCGCAAGTACGGCCTTCGAGTTAACCTTGACTTGCATACGATCCCGGGATCGCAGAACGGTGAGCCCCGCGTCGGTCCCCAGCTAAGCTCGCGCTGACACCGCGCTATCACTATGATGCCAGGGTACAACCATTCGGGCAAATTGGGCGTCGTCAACTTCCTGAACGGGCCCATGGGCCTCGCGAACGCTGAGCGTGCGCTGGACTACATCCGGATCCTCACCGAGTTCATCACCCAGGTGCGCAGCTCGCTCACCCCGTTTCGTCCGCCGGAATCTTGAATCTAACTCCGTTCTGAATCCAACTGCGTTCCATGCACCCTGTACGACCAACAGCCCGAGTACGCGCCTGTGATACCGATGTTTGGCATCGTGAACGAGGCGCTGCTGTCGACCATCGGGAAGGACCAGCTCATCACATTGTGCGTCTTCCGTTCCCTTCCGTGCTTGTGCTCCCGCCGGCTGACCGCCCGTCCGGGCCCGTCACAGCTACCTGCACGCGTACGACATGATCCGCGAGATTACGGGCGTGGGCGAGGGCAAGGGCCCGTTCATCTCGATCCACGACGGCTTCCAGGGCGCCGCGTATTGGGCGGGCACGCTCACCGGCTCGGACAGGGTCGCGCTCGGTGCGTGTTGGCGTTGCTGCTCCGGTGTCGCATGCGCCTGACTGCGTGCAGACACGCACATGTACTTTGCGTTTGACGGATCGCCGAACGGCGAGCCAGTCGCCGTACCGGCGAATGGGAATGCGAACATGCTGGGCGGGCAGTGGCCGCTGATGGCGTGCAACGCGTGGGGCCCGCAGGCGAACACCAGGTACGTCCCGTCCGCCGGGCTCGGGCGCGATGCGCTGACGCCTGCGTCGCAGCCAGACTGCGTTTGGGGTGACGTATTCGGGCGAGTTCAGCAACGGGATGAACGACTGCGGGCTGTACGTCAACGGCGTCGGGCAGGGCTCGAGCTCCGCTGCGAACTGCACGTTGTGGTCTGACGCGGCGCTGTGGAACGAGACGACGCGGGAGGGGGTCAGGACGTATGCGCTCGCGAGCATGGACGCGCTCCAGGACTGGTTTTTCTGGACGTGGAAGGTGCGTCGTGCTGCTCTCCCTCGCCCCTTTCCCTCCCCTTCCCAATTTCCATTCCTGCGCGCCTGCCCTGCTTGACGCATCCGGCGCTCGGCGGAATCTCGCATCGGGCATTCAACAGCGCTAACGGTTCGCGGGTGCAGATCGGGAACTCGTCGACGTCAAACAGCGTCGAGGCGCCGCTGTGGTCGTACCAGCTCGGGCTGCAGTACGGGTTCATGCCGACAGACCCCCGGGAGGCGATCGGGACGTGTGCGGCGCTCGGCGGGGGCCAGAGCCCGTTCGACGGCGAGTACGCGTCGTGGCAGACGGGCGGGGCGGGCGCGGGCACGATCGCGGCGACGTCCGTGGCGACGTACGGCGTGTGGCCGCCGACGACGATGGCGGGCGTGCCCGCGCAGTCGGTGCTGATGCTCCCGCAGTACACGGGCACCGCGGGCGTGAGCACGCTGCCGGCGCCGACGGCGCTGACGAGCGTCGCGACGGTCCCGGTTGGGAGCGGGTGGTACGACGCGGGGGATACTGCGAGCGCGGTCACGACGATATCGGGCTGCACGTATCCGGATGCGTGGTATGCGCTCAGCTCGGCGATACCGACGGCGGGGTGTGGGGCGGTGTCGTATGGTGCTGCTGTGGCGCCGGTGTTGACGTCTGCGGTGGCTGCGGCTACGACGACGAGTAGTGCGCCTGCGGCTGCGGCGGCGACCAGCGCGCCGGCGCGCAGGTACGGTGGGGCGCACACATGATGGCACGCGACCAGCCCAGTGCTTCCGAGTCTACACTTTTAGATGCGTGCGACTACTTGCTGTACATCATATACCATATCTTGCGGACTTTGCGAGACGCGCGATTCGCGCCTGGACAGACTTTGCTTATACCCGCACTATGTACCGCGTACGCTACTGCGTGTGATGCTCGTCCTACTTACATACCGATCCTCGACGTCATGTGCTCGCGTTTGCAGTCCGTGCGCATACGGGCGCCCGATGTAAGCGAGCGGCAGCGTGACCCGCGGCAGGTGGCTTCTGTGCTTCTCGAGGACGCATAAGACCTGTTGGGGCCAGAACGGGGTTCGCATGTGCGGTAGGCGTGCATCGACGCCAGTGCGCGTCCGAAGCCCTACGTTCGCATCAGCACGGAAGCCTGCAGGCCAGCAGGAAGAGGCGTAACGTCTGCGCATATGACATGGGTTAATAACGCTGTTATACACTGTCGAGGCTCGAGCTGTTCCATCAGGTGCGCGAGGATTTTTCCAGAAGGCGGGGGCGAACGCGAACCGAAGCAGCCCGTGCGCCCCGGAGCGCGGGGTGTGTGCGCCCGAGGAAATCGAGAGGCTGCAATTATGATAATTAATGGAGATCGTTCCCGAAGCAATAAGCTCATACTGGGTGACTTTCCGTAACACAGTTTAGATACAACTTTTCTAGATTTTGCGTTCCAGACTGCTAAACGCTCTGTAGGCGCCCGAACCACCTGCCATAGAAAGGAATCACAACCGTGACTGAGCGGAGTTCCGGGAAATGTCCCGGATAGCCGAATCTCCGCCCATCTTGAGTCGATTGCACCAAATGCTCTCCAGACAGGCAAATCTGGAGAGGGGGTCGACACCCTCTCCAGACGTGCATCAGAGGCATTAGCGCCCGTCCCGCTCACTTGGGCCGGTCTAACGGTTGATTGTCACACTTGGTCACGAGCGGGTCACGCTTTCACGCTCCGGTTGGAACTCGCGAAATCTAGAAAAGTTGGTTCTAAACGTTACGGAAAGTCATCCACTCACGACTTTGCTGTCCCGCGCCGAGGCGAGCGAAACGCGACGCACGTGCCGCCGCAGAAGACGAGGCGCGTGATCGTGCGCTAGAAGCAGCCCCGCCCGCATCCCCGCGCCGCGCTGCTGGGCGATGGTGCGCAATTGTTCGCATTCGAGATGCGGGGACTGACGCTCTCTTCGCTCGCTGCGCGTCGGTGTAGCTCGCGAGCGTTTCTCGCCATATCGAAGGATAATAATAACATTCCAACGATTCTGGAGACGGCGGCGGCGCGATCTTGATTGCGCGGTTTCCTGTGTGCGTTGATCAGTCGGTGCGTCATATCACACAATACGGCCTCGTGTTTGTGGGCAGATCAGTCCGACCCGACGACGAGCTCCCCGATCGTGTTCTTGTTCTCGTGAACTCGTTTCGTTTCGGTGTTCTCTGTGATGGGCCCATGGGTTTCGGGGTCGCGCGGTCTGGTGACATCGGTGCACGTCCCGAGAGCTGCTCGGAACGGGACCGTGGTACGTCGGTTGACCCATGCAGCGGGCGCGTCTGGCAGGCCTAAACAGCAGCGGTACGACTGACGGGCAGATGCGGCGCGGGAGGGGAGGCGGATTGTGGAATGGATTTTCGGTGTCGACGTCAACGGGTGGAACACATCGACGCGTCCATGGGCCGCGGGAGAAGGGTGACCGGTGACCCGCGATAGCAGCGGGGGCGGGCGTCCATCGGGGTAGGATCTGGGGAAACGCGGATGCAGCGATTTGCACGCGCAGAGTCTGATGCAGACGTGCGCTGATTAGACGCGTCCCAGCCAGTCCCCGTGCCCACCCCCTCAGCCAATGCTCGCCGGGCGCCTCCGTCCTCCAATCGCGTTGGCCAGTAAACCTCTGCCAATCGTCTGCGCGGGCCGGACAGAAGAGATGACAGAACGGTCACGACACGTCGGTGGGCAATCGCTATCAGCACGCACTGCCAGCCAAGCACGTCCAGCTGCGATTGGACCAGGGGACTCACCCGTCAGATTGGCTGGCCAAATTTTTACCAGAAATCAGGTGGTGTCTACGCACTGTGCCGTGAATCGACCACAATATTTCCAGAGGGAGTGCCGGAAAGGCACATCAACGGCCCCTGCGCGAATGAGAGGACGTTCCTCTGCGAATTTGCAGTCGAAAATAGGAGACGCTGACAATTTCAAAGATGCGAGCGGACATATGAGGCAAAGTACGTATAATGCTGTGGCCAGCCTAGGGGGACACGTTAAGTTTTAGCATGAGACAAAAGGCTAATATTCTGAGCGAGATACCGGGCGGCACCCAGAGGATTGATAGCAAGGACGGGGGAAGAGACTGGGAGTCGGGAGGCTGCCCGCTGGACGGAGGCCGGGCGATGGCGTGGCCAAAGTCTTCTCAATTTTGTAGAGGACCACTGTGGCGGGCGGGGATTACCCGGAGAGGAGAGCGTCTACGAAGGAAGCGGAAGGCTTCCCGTTTAGGACGGTCGCTGAGATTCCATCGCCGAGCTGGAGGGCGGTGATTGGCTGGCGCCTGTTCTCCTCTGTTCTCTCCCTGCTCGCCCGATGGTGTATATGCTTATTTGCAACAGCGAATCGCATTCCGGCGTGTTTCGGTCGCGATGGCTCGTCGGGCTGCAGCCGCTACCAAGTCCGCACGCTACGGCTTGGGTACGGCATGCAACTATGGCCACTTGGGGTCTGCGTGGACGGGGAGTTGGCTCGATTTACGGCTGGGGAGGCGTCATATGCCGTCCTCGGGAGTGCTTCTGGCTGAATTCGGGGAGGCGTTCTTCTGGGTAGCCATCGGACCGGAGCGATTCCATCGTCGGTTTCCCCCAGATCGGCGTTGGGGTGCGGGCGATGAAGCGGTCGGAGGAGGATGGACGCCGTCGGTTCCTCGGACGCGAAGCGCGCGTCGCTGTGGGAGAGGGGCAGTGCCGGGCAGTGACACCGTGCGTGGACGAGGTGGGCAGGAGGATTGGCAGGGAGCAAGTGTCCGGATGGGGGAGACTCGAGAAAGCGAAAACTCGAGTTAATCGCACGGAGGAGCCCGCGTATCTGAAACTCGAATATCGATCTGGCAAGCAGCGCGATTCGCGAAGCCAGCGAAATCTCCCTTCTAGCCCCACTCTACCCTGCCTTAATTAGACTCTCTCATCACCCTCGACGCCCGTTCCCGGAGATCGAACTCTACAGGCGTCTACCCTCCACCACTCCCTCTCTCGCTGGATATAAATCCCTCCTCCCGCGGCGACTTCTCTCCCATCCCTCTCTCACAATGTCCGCCGCCCGCCAGTTCGCCCAGCACGTCCGCGTCTCCTCCACAGACGAGCTCTCCTACTCCTCTTCCTCCAAGGACGAGATCAACGACACCATTCAGACCATCGTGACAGGCCGCAAATGTTGGAAGACAATGAAGGGCAAAGGCGAGGTCGTCTGGCCTCCCTATCTTGAGGCCGCCCTCGTCGAAGGTAACCCGCGCATACATCATCCTGTTTCTCCAACGTCTGCTCAACCACGCGTTCGCGCAGGTCTCGAGAAATACCAGCCCGTCGAGTCGCGGACGGCGCGTGCCTTTGGTCGTTTTCCAATGAGGAACAAGTTCATCTCGGACTACATCTTCAACTCGACCGGCAAGCGTAGGACTCCCAAGCAGGTTGGCAGTCGCCTCCAGCAACTCAGAGACACCGCCGAGGGCAAACGTAGTAGGTCCTCTGCCCACGAATTGTTCTCGCCGCTCACCACATCCCTCTAGTCCTCCAGCTCTTGTCCAGCAGACACATCGCTATGATGCACCCCTCCAAGGCGGAATCGCCCAAGGACGTCGCGCCGAACAACAGCGCTTCCGACCTTCCCGGGAACACGCCTTCGTCCACTGCACCCTCTCCCCCGCCTTGCAGCTACGTCTCAATCGACGTCATCCCAGACAACGGCCTCCAGCAGCCCGCAAGCCTCACACCGCTCACCTCCTACGGTGCCGGCCCGTCCTCGTCAACCTCCCCGTCGCCCAGTTCCACGCCGCGCACGCTGCGTTCCATCGATCCCACGGTCACCTTCATGTCGCGCACCCCGCTGACTGCGTACTCGTCCTTCCGTGTCCTCCAGAACGACCGCCGCGTGCACGAGGAGCGCACCGAGCTTGAGCTCTGCTCGTCCTCGTGCATGCCCGCGCCCGTCTGGGGTGCGCCCATGGAGTGCACGTTCCTCTACAAGACGCTCTTTGTCCCGCAGTTCTGGCAGCGGCTCTGCGACTGTAACGGTACGCCCCCGCGCCGTTGTTCTCTTACTCACAATTCGCTTGCTGACGCGTTGCCGCCGGCAGACCCGACGTCGTACACGATCGTCCAGGAAATTGTTCGCTCGTGCAACCCGTCACAGTCTGCCCAGACGCCCGTTGAGGAGGTCCTGCTGTCTGTCGTCTACCAGTTCAACAGCCCCGCCTCGACGCCGCCGCTCTCCCCGCAGGCGAGCAGCTTCGGCGACGCTGATCCGTCCCCCTTCTCGGCCGAGTCCAGCGTGAGTGCCCCCTCTGCTAGCATGCGTGTCAGTGTTCTAATTTTCCCTGCAGCCCGAGGTCGGCTCCGAGTTTGACGAGCTCCTGATGTACGGCGCGCTGGAAAGCCCGGCCACGGTGCAGACCGCGTCAAGCGGCCACGGCGGCTTCGCCAGCATCGCTGGTACGCCGCAGCTGCTCCATCGCGACGACGAGGGCTACGTGAGCCTCCCGCCGAGCCCGCTAAACCTCAACTCGCCGTCAGACTGGAAGTTCGCGGGCGCGCCTGCTGCTGGGATTGCGCAAGATCCCGCGCATGCGGCGCTGTGCGGTGTGGGGACCTACCCTCCCTTCCCCGCTGCCCCCAACTGCTTCGACGCCGCGCCCCTCCAGCATTATGTGCGTCTCGTCAGTGTTCTATGTCTATGACCGCCGCTCATCTCATCGTTGTCTTCCAGAGTTATGATGCCTATGCTGCCGTATGACGTGTTCAACATCTAGTGCCCCGGCCGGACTGCCTCTGCTCTATGCTATGTCTGGTACGCTCGCCGCCGGCGTCGATCACCAGCGCGTCACCATCTCAGCCCATCTCTCGTCGTTCCATCTCCATCTTTCTGCGCTGTAAGTGTCCCTGTATACCTGTATAATGGCCCGCGCGCGCCCTCCGTTATTTGTTCTCGTCATATCTAGGATAGACTTTACGGTACATACATAATCTGCATTTCCTCCTCGTCATCGCCGTCATTCCGCCATTCGCCATTTGGCACTCGCCAACACGTCGGTCATTATTCGTTCCCTTTAACTCATGGTCGTCATTTCGTTGTCCATGTTTTTTTCTTGTTTTATGGCATCCGGACCCACCGCGCCGACCGCGCTGCAGTCCGCATCCGCGTTCGCGCCGCCCGTAATTCAATCGATAATTTAATCGCAATCACACACCGGTACCATCTTGAAGCGCCTTTGCCTTTGCCTTGTTCTTCTGCCAGCGCGTCTATATAATGTGACCGCAGCGTCCGGGAACACCCAGCACACACGCATCGCCCGTCCCTTCGTGATGGCGAAATTCGCAACAGCAGAAGACGAAGAACCGCGCTCGAGCGCGAAAGGAACCCTTCCAAGACCGCGAGATGCAGCCAAGGCCAAGGCCAAGGCAGCGCCTGCCGGGCGCAGCGTCCGCCCGATATTGTGCCGATCGATCTGCCGCATGTTCCGCATCCGTCTCGTTCCGTCTCACAACAATTGCTCGACGAATGCGGTCGCAGAAAATCCACAGAGAAGAAGCAAGTCCACAGACTCGGAGTCCGAGAATCGCAGAGAGCCAGTACTATGTGCAAGCCCAACGCCCGATGGCCATCGACGGCAGGCCTGCGCGCGCTGTGGTCCACTGTGGGTGTGCACCCGTGCACGCCCCCGGTGGCCTGATCGCGAAGGCTCACGCGTGCGCTTCGAAGTTCTGCCCGATCGGACGCGTCGAGTGCGCCAGGCCAGCTGCAAACCGCAAGTACATACCAGCAGGGCCGTCACTCCGAGTCTCAGTCTCTCGCAGCCACAGACGCGGGAAAGACGTAATAATATTCAATTACAAGCGCTAGACGAGAAAAGTAGCCTGAAGCGGCTGGAACGCCAGCTCGTGTGTATGTACACGCATATATGGTATCTCGAGAACAAGAGCAGGCGAGCACCTTCGGCTTACACACAGCCCAGGGATGCGGGGGGATCGCAGCCAAACTCATGGTCACCGTGCTAGGGATGGGTTCCCCCATGCCGCAGTATAGCCTAGCATTTGGAATTAGCACGCAGACGATCAGAGACGCGGAGAAATCGCTGGCGCTATGTAGAAGCCGGGGAACGAAACACTCCGAGAGTCCCAACGAAGAGAACGGGGACGAGACCACTCCGAGGAGAGAACCAGGAAGAACAACCCGAGTACCATCGGGCGGCCGTGCATCGCGAGAACAGTGGTCAGGTTATACAAGGGTGAACACAAAAGACATTGACAGGTGCCAAAGGGGGGGCCGGTACTAGCAGATGGTGGCGCAAGACGACGGAGAACAACGCGAAGGTGGACAGAGACGCGGTGGCGCGGACCGCGCCAGTCGTTGGGGTGTGCGAGGACGTTCTAGTGAGGGTGCAGGCTCGCGTTGCAGAACCGAACAGAAGGCGAATGCGTCCGTTATGGACATATTGCTCTTCGGCACACGGCGGGCTGCCTTCGCGGAAAAGATTCCTGGACAAAGTGCCCCCTCCCGACTGACCGCTTGTTGCCGAGGATTCAGCGTCGCCTGCGCATGTATTTGTCGACGATCCTTGCAACTGGCGCCTGCATACTCGTAGCAGAACACATGTGAGATAGGTCATCCATATGGCATGCAATGCAGAAATGCCATATGATGATCAAGCCGGGGACATTACAGCCACGGTGCTGTACTAGGACGTGTGAGTGCAGGGGCGCGCACACTGCAGAACGCCGCGGAACCGCGTGTATGGGATCGTCTTCGTGAATTCGAAATTCTTACCAGAGCCCGCGACCACATTACGTCTGACATAGATCATCAAAGAAGTTTGTCACAAAAGGGACACCACTCACGAGCGCGTTTGGGCCTTCTGACGGGCTGAAAGAAAGTGGACGAATCACCGCGAGCGAGGCGGGAGCCAATACATGCGCGAGGATGGCGCCACGGAAGAGCACGCCATTGGGGCACGGGGGAGGGCGGTAGTGTGAATATGTTTCGCGCTACCTGAGCGAGGCCGCTGATTTGCTGATGAAAATACGATATGGCAAAGTCCTGACAGATTGATGCGACCCGCCGCGATTCGTTGGCCCCGGACTAATTGGGTGAAATTTGTAGAGGGGGCTCTGCAATCCAGGACCACCATGAGGATGTCGCCATAAGCGTGAAAAGAAATGAGGCCGTGGAGAGAGCCTGGCGAGGTACGTACGTGGGACTCTGGAAGACGGAAGATGGTCATGGGAGATGGACTAACACAACGAGCTCCTTGATCAGAGGGCGAACGTGAATTTGGTGGACAGCATGATTCCAGCCACCCAGTATATGTATCCGGTCCACAATCACATGCATTCTCTTCCCAATTTGGCTCCAGTCCTCCGCCTCTCAGGCCAATAGCGTCCTTGCCCTCTCATTGGCCAACCACATTTAATTCGACTGCAATCTCGGAAACGGGAAATTTAGCTAGAAATTTAACACAAATGGCTCTCGGCCGCAGCCGAACGCGGTGAGTTCAAAGTCCCGCCAATTCTCAAACCAACTTCCTCCTTCTGGCTGACGCTCAGAGGCTTTCCTCTTCACACGGGCAAGCATTCTACCGATCTTACGGCACTCTCCCAAGCACAGGAAACTGCTGTAACGCGCCAGCGCGTACATCTAGCTCCGTCGCAAGGAAGACACCGCAATGTTGGACATGAGCCGTGTCGGGGGAACTAGAAGATAGGGTTCAGCGCCGCATTGCGCTGCTTCTAGATACATCGGATGCTGTATTGTGAGGACGCAGGATAAGCAGGATAGGCAGGTGAGCACCCCTCTGCAGTTCGCACCCCGATTCTGCTGTAAACAGAGCGACGACCTCCCGATGCTCTCTCCCGATATCGTTGATTGCGATTCGGAGCCAATCGCACCATCTCTAATCCTAGCTTATCGCAATCTCACCCAGGAGCCTGGAGACGCGGTTCCGCCAGACTCATCCATGGACGTTGAACGGCGAACTCTGTCAACACACTGCGATGAGGTCTCGGATCGATCGTTGTTCCAGGGTGAGCCAATTCGCGTCCGGTCCAGCAATCGCTGCTTCGGACAGTTCCATTTGTGGTACTGATTGGAACTGCTGCAGCAGATATTTTGGCGCTCTGTAGAGACACCAGAAGGTTCACTGAATTTATTTCTAGCCCGTGCGGCGGTGCGACATTGCACAACTGTATCGTCCGTGCTCGGCAGCCTCAATAAATCGATTTTTTGCCCGGTCGAATTTTACTTATTTTTCTCAAGGTCGCGAGGCCGAACGCTTGCTTCAATTTACAGTCGGTCTTAAGAGGTGAACTGTTACACTCCACAAACATTATTACGAATCTAAAATGACTAGCTATCATCATGCGAGGCTCCCACATCCAAGCCGTCACCCAGACATGCAAAGTGGCTATTGGGAACCTTCAAATAAACCTGCCAACTAGCTGCAGCTGCCTGTGCATTGTAGGCGGCACAAGATGAGCATCAAAGTATTTATCATTGGGTTGACGCCCGCTGTACTTCGGAATTGGGACTCATTCGCCATCAGGCATGGCGCGCAAACCAGGAGTCTCCTTTGCGTTCAGACGGAATGACTCCTGTGGTTCTCGGGGTATCAGCCAAACCAGCATTGGCGTCGTAAGGAGCATATTGAGAAGTTCTGCCTCGGATGGATTGCTGAAATGATACTTCATCCATCGGGACTCCTCTATACGTCGGTGCATCAGCAGTCTCTGATGATGTCCTCGTCTGCAAGTAACCACGGGACAGACAGTGCTTCGGGAGCCGCCTTGGCAGTACTGGCGAGATATCTCTCTGCGTATCTTAACAGCTCATCCAGCGAATCGCCCGACTTGTCGCACGCGCTCTCTCCCGCTCGACTTAGTGGTGGGAGGGGCTGCAGTGGTAGCATCGGCGACCTAGATGCGGGTGTACTCGCAGGTGAGTCCTCTATGAGGATGGGCCAGTAGCCGCCAGTTTCCTGTTGGCGTCAGCTGTCGTCAGCTCATCTCTGGTTCTCTTTTAGGGTGTGCCACGTACCATCTCGTCATCAAGGAAGCTCAGGCGTTGCTCCAGATTGAATGCCTCTTCGTGGATGCCTCTCGCGTCGACTGATATCCAAACCTCTCGCTCTGGATCGACCGGTTCGCATATTCGCTGTGACCGGTGCGTATAGGGTGGTGTTGGAGGACGCTCAGTGCGTGGATCGTATCTCCTTTGGGATATATGTGAAAAGGAACGGAGGTCCAAGAACCACTGTTCATCCTCCTGTAATTCTTCGGGGCTCATAGTGGCGTTATCTGCCTCATCGTCGCCCCGTTTCAAACTTCTGACGAATACACTGCCCTGATTTCTTGCTAACGGGCTGTTGGCGTCGCATTCGTTCCACATCCTCGCGTACGGTGATCCTGGGGACAGGGCGACAGGGCTACCCGAGTATATGCTGGAATCAGATGACAGATATTCAGCCCAGCACGCGCCCCGCTGCGTACATGCGGTGTTCTCCATGCTCGAATACGGGTTTGGAGATGTGTCATCCCACGTCGTGGGTGGTACCAGACGGTAGTGTGCGCTGCCATCGTGTTCTGACGCTGGCGATCTTTCTGGCGACCAGAACACCTCTGCGCTATCTACTGGGATAGGATTGTGGATGGTGCCGAGGTGGTGGTAGTATCCTATCTGTGTTTCTGTGGTGAGTAGATCGTATGTGCTCAGTTTGTTTCTACTTACAGGCGTGTCTTGTTGGATGGTAGGAGCCTGTGCTTCCGCTTCCGGCTCCATGTTGATGTTGGCTTGCCAGAGTAGCACTGGTGAGAATCGTGCGGCTGGTAGCTGTGGTTTGGGCGCCAGGATAGTCTGGCTCGTTTCGTTTGCACGGCTCATTGAGGATAGGTCGAGGAGCAAGATGGGGTTTCAGTGAAGAAGGAATCAGTATTGACGGGATGCGTTTTATACTCTCCTTCACAACGCACAACATGCCTTGCGAGTGGCGTCGAGAGACCCACCACTTCTTTTCCATTGTCCGTGCGATGATGGCACCTCACGCGCTAGCGGCTTTGTTCGTGGAGGCAGTGGGAGTTGCGGCATTGATCGGCATTGATGCCAGTGGTTTGTTGTAGGGCACAAAACGTGGTGGGTGAGCCCTTTTGTGCTGGCTCTGGCCATCTGTAACTGATGGCCATTCACCAGCTACATATGTGTACTCCATCCTGCTTTATCCGTGTCGCATGCGTTTGCAAGGCGATGGTGATCGACCGGTCTGCACGAGTGAGGAAGGAAGATCACTGATCTCCATAGATATGTACAACCTCTAGGGTTAGGTGTTACACAAGGTGATTATCGCCCTTCTCGCCACCTATGTTAAGTTATAGCACTGATTACAATCAATCCTCTGCCGCCGATCCTACTCACCAGGAGTTACATTCGACATGTTCCTCTTACAGGACGATCGACGGCGGCAGTAGCCCTCTCTCTGCGAAGCGAAACATCCACTGTGTCAACTTCGCCACCCCATGATCCATTGTTACCCGGGGAGCTGTCTCGCGGCGACGCGGCTTCCTGCCATATGTTCTGTGAAGAGATACACAAACGTGTCGGCTTCAGTTCCTCGTCAGCTAGTATGGCAAGGTCGCGTGCATATCTGCCATATTCCTGCCACCAGAGCATTTCGCCGTCAGCTCAATTTCCATCTTTGCTGAGGGATTGCGCACCTTGTCACCACCGCGTGCACATCCTCGGATGTCTGTTTTGTCTTCACAGACGACCTCGTACGCTTCTATTAACGCCGTGGAGCCCAGCTCGCGCACACGCTCCATTGGGGCCGGCATGCGCACTTTAGGAGTGGTGTCCACAGGAGAGTCGTTGTCCACATCCAGAGGTAAGCTGGGATCCTTCGGGCTCGCAAGCAAAACCTCAGCGGTTTTAGAAGTCGACGCTGCAGTCGACCATGCAGACGACCATGCAGACAACGTGGACTCCGCGTCACACTCCGTCTCGCTGTCCGAGGAGCACGCCACCGGCACCTCGGAAAGCGGGCTCGTCACTGCGTTGTCTCGCTCCGCCTTCCACTGATAATACTTCTCGAGATCCCAAGTGTACTCCAATTGCGCGAGGACTGGCTCTTGCTCCGTCTGGTTTTGCGGTGTGGCCCCGAGGTCACGCACCGCCATGAACGGGATGAGGCTGCGGTCGAAACGGCTGGACTTCGACGGAAGGTGTGGAGTCCGGCAGACTTTCGCGCTGTGGACCCAGATTGGACTGAGGATGGTGTCGAGGTGGGCATCCTGCTGGTACTCGGTCTCGTTAATTATGCTTACCTCTAACACAATATGAAGCTCACATGCAGCTTGTACTTTTCCGAGTTACGGGGATAGAACCCGACGTTTACTCGTTTGAGTTGTACCAATGGCATGCTGTAGCTTGGACGGCCCATGGTCCCGCACGCTGTGAGGGAATGTGTTGATGGAGTTTGCTGAGCAGCGTGGCCGTGACAGAATGTTCAGTTGACAAGCCTTCGCTAGCGTCACTTGGTAACTAAAGGAATTTGCTGGTTTGCGTGCAGTGTGGTGGAGACGGAGATGCGGGGGCGGGGAGCAAGGTGAGTGAGCTGCTTAAAAGGTAAGTTGTCGTCAAGTGGCTCACGATCCGTCAGGCCGCCACTCGTATCCTCGAACAAAGAAATAGTTTGTTTCGCTCGGAATTGAGAGCTCTACCATCTGGCTCTCCCCAAGAACGTAGCAGTTCATGCATGTTCATGATGTTCGCGACTGGGAAGTACTCGCTCAGACGTTAACAAGCCCGCATTATCGAAGAGGGCGGGCAGCGTGACCGGTATCACGTTATTTCCATATCCGGATAATCCTGGCCTGAATGCGGAATCGCTTTTTGCCGTGGTCACAGGCGCTCCTAGTCACTTGCAGGTGCGAAATTTACCACCTGTATGTTCTCTTCAACCATCTTCTAGTTATATATATGGATTTCGTCGCCAGGTATAGATTGGACATCTAACAAGTTTTCCCTTGTGAACTAGATTTTCAAACGCTCTCCACCCAGAAGCAAGGACAACGGTGCAAGTAAGTACTCACATGGTGGCAGATTGGTTTCAAGATGTATCACACAAGAACAGAGTATTAGTTGAGCCATGTATCAAATGGCTGGATGGAACAATCTGACCATTCCACTGAGCTGCTTGTGTAAGGGAGCAGCTGCCAGTAAGTATGCGGGTTCTCCTCGGTCTCTGCCTTGTCATCCAACCACTCGCTTTCTCACCCGAAGATGGATGAGCGTTCGCCCAGAGGAGAGCCCGTCAGCTGTCCGTACGTGCCCTTCCTACCCTTTCCCCCTCATTTCGCTCACCCGCACCATGTAGCCCGTAGGAAGGTGACCATCCAGCACCTCACAAACTCTGTCACGCCGGTGTACCTATCACGATGCTCACCGCGTACAACTTCCCCGCTGTTCGTGCCTGCTACACTGTAGTGGTCCACATCTCCCTCTTTGGCGACTCTCTCGACCAGGCTGCGTCGGCCTCCCCCCCATCACTCCTCATCCTCGTGATCCACGAACGCCCTCCGCGGCGCGTTCGCCGTCGTCCTCGAAGCTGTACCCCACCCTCTCTCCGCCTCGCGCACCGACCATTGGCATCGACGCGAGCTGCGAGACGGACGGACGGGTGCTCGTGTGGGACGACGTCATGGGTGCCTGGGGCGGGCACCAGGCGAAGTTCGACCGCAGGTTTGCTAATTTCAGGGGCGCGATCGAGGGCGGGGTGAAAGGCTACTTGCAGGCGGTGAGGGATTGCAGCTTCCCCTCGCGGATGAGAGCTAAGAGTTGGGGGAGGGAGAGCTGAAGAAGTTCAGGCGATTAGTCGAGGAGGATGCTCCGCCGTTGTCGGGGAGACAGGGTCGTGATCATGAGTGAACACTCTGCACGCCTTTGTTGTTTGGGAGGTCCCTAGCCCACTCGTGGGTTGGTTCCATCGTAATGTGAGTGTACCCGCCTCGCATTTCATGATGCTAAAGTGTTGTCCTTCTGGCAGTCATACATCATGTACCGGCGCATACATGTACGTATATCATATATTGACACCGCATGAAAGCTGCTGTCAATCTATGTTCCCGAGTTCAGTACTAGTGTGAGGATAACCTGACCCCACTATATCCGCAAGGCTCTGTCCATTGCAAGTGAGTCTCCCGGGATTCAAGTTCATCGCACTTTACCCTGATCATTTCCTGTGCGACCACAGCATCTCGTGTGTGGAGCACAACTCGCGGAAGGTGAACTCGAGAGTCAAGCTGCCGCGCATACATCCGCATGCCTTCCTCCATTTTGGCTGCCCGGACCACAAGCTGCAGATCCTGTATGCGCTTTCTCCCTGCACGCCGACGCTGCCTCCACCGCTCGCGGCAGCAGTCCCATGCTACCCCAGTGCTCACGGTAGTAGTCCGGCGCTACTTCCACGGCTCGCGATAGCACTCCGACGCGGGTAAACCCGCTCTCGGTCGTCGTGGACTCTGCGACACCCAGATAAGAAGCCACCGAACTGCAGGTACGAAGATTGTACATGCGCTCTCTATCATCCCTGCAGGCCGATTGCTACCAACACTTCGAGCGAGAGCAGTCATCCTGCCGGGTGCATGAACCCGCTCTTGGCTGTTGCTGAGCATTACCAGCGACACCTGAGGAGTGGCTTCGGTCACTGATGCAGTGACGGTCCACGAGTTTCCTCGGGCCAATCTTTGTGCGTTCTTCATAATGTGGCTATTTTGTTCTCAAATCTGCCAAGAAGACGCCCAAGGAAGATGCCAGAGGATCTGGTTACATTCCTCGCCATGAACCTCGCACCACCATCTGTCTCATTTGTTTCTCCTCTTAGGGATGCTACTCGAAAGCCGGTCGCAATTTGGACGCGTGCAGAGCGCAAGGACAGCACAGATGAATGCGCCCTCTGCAGGTAGCTGTTCGATATGCCAGAACGACTCCACCACCAGACACGGTCGTTGAAAGTTCTTTACGACGCTCGACATGTGCTATTGAACACCTGGACGAGGCTGCCGCAGCAGTGGTGGCGAGTGACTTGGTGCATCTCACGTCCTCTTCTCTGGATTATCGACAAAACTTGTCCGATGCGGCCGTCTCCACACTGCAACGTATCCAATATGTTATCGGCACAGCCATCGGATTCACTGTTTCGTTTCAGCTACGAGGTAGCTGACAAAGTGCCTGCTTCATGGCACCACCTTCCACAAGCGGGACAATTGTGCAAATGGTCTCCTTGTGATGGCTCGGAAACTCACATGCTAGCTGGTTTCAGAAAACTTAACTTGCCAGTGGGTGGGGCAAGGGGGTGCAACGAGTGTTAGTTGCGTCGGTTAGTTGACTCAAAAACAAATTCAGATTTGCCCGCTGGCTGGATTGAACAACCGACCTCACCATTCCTTTCCCTGCTTACGTAAGAAGGTAGTACGAGTGGCGCGCTCTACCACTGAGCTAAGCGGGCGTTGTCAAGAATTGTTAAATGAATGCGAATAACGGGGATCAGAACAGAGGAGGAGAACCATACTAGAATTGAGTGTGAATCGGAATTACTTAGCCTGAGACGCGTAGACGCGTCAGGGATTCAAAAGCGGTCCATACGTAAACCTTGCAAGATGGGGCAACGCTCGTGCTCTGCGCCATGTAGAGGGCACTCGCTTGCATTGTGTACACTATTCAATAATCCGTCTGGTAGTATTCAGCACTGGAGGCGGAAGGACAATCGTACACATTGACACGCGACTACACAACCAACACAAGAGCGATCCAAGGTTCGAAGACGGTAGAACTGGGGATGAAATAACAGTACGCGCAAAAGGGGATCAACTCGGGGTGATAATACAAGAAAAGGAAAAACTGGAGAAAGGATGCGAAGGGATACTCCACAAAGGCCTGAACGCGCGCAGTACATGTGCCGGGCGACCAGAGCGAGCCAGATAGCCGAATCTTGACAGCCGGATAGCGTGGACTGTATGCACGAACAGTTGAATTCCAGAGCAACCCGCGGCTTCGGCGAGGGAACCACGAGTTGGGCCGTTCAAGCTACCTTGTACAGGGGGATCACAGATCCACCCATCCCTCTCTTACCCCGCGTGGTCGACAGTTACCTTGAAGACAGAACGAGGCACCTCTGTCCTCACTCTCTTCGCGTCGCCATTACCAGCTGGCTGGAGTTCACAGCCATCTTCGAGTTCCTCCGAAGATCTCTTGCGTAGTCGTGCCGGGGAAGATGTGGGGCTGACATTTACCGGCGAGAATGACCCTTCTCTGCGAGGCCGCTTCGGAGGTGTCCCGCCTCGCTCGCTCAAGTCCTTGCCTTCAACACTTTGCACAATGGCTTCCGCAAAAGCTTCGGCGTCAAGTTCCCTTGAGGATCGCTTTCGAGGAGTGACTCGACAGGCAGAGATTTCCGACAGAGATTCTGGAATGGAGGTATCGTCTCCTTTCTCGGATTCACCATCTTCTTCTGGGTCTTCCTCTTCTTCTTCCTCCTCCTCCTCCTCCTCCTCTTCTTCATCCTCCTCTTCTTCTTCAGCGCGTGCTGGAGAAATTCTGATAGAAACAGGCTGCTGCGGCACTGGCTGAACACAGGGTGAAACCTGTGGCGGCGGTTGGCTTGGAACGATGTTTCCGGCCGCAATATTGGCCTTCAAGACTGCACGTTCACAGACGGTACACCTGCATTGGTAGAGAGGCGCGCATGCCTCTCTCCAGGCCTGAAAGGGGCAAGTCACAATAAATTAATGAACGGTGTACTATCAGGAGAAGTAGAAGAACGCACGGCATTGAACGCCTCCAAGCTGTACAGCGGCATGTGAGCCATTGTGACCGGTATATAGGGAATCGGATGCAAGATCTGGGGAGACTTGAGCACCGGGAAAACCGCGATTGGAAGAACGGGAGCAGAAGGCGCAGTGGGGGAAGACAAGCAATCATCGTCTTTAATACCTCCACTCGGCGGAGGGGACGGCGTGGTCTGCAGCGTTGTGGTCGACAGCACTGGACTTGTTGTATGGGAGCCGTCCGATCTAGAGGAGGAAGAGGACGCGTCATCATCCTTCGCTCGCTCTCTGTCGCGCCCATGCTCGCGCCTCGCATTCGCCCTGCGCTCCAGCCAGTCAACGCCGTTGAACCACACGCCTTCATCTCTCAATTCCTGCATAACGTCCTCGGGCGTCATCCTCGCGGCCTTCATCGTTGGATCCACACCGTCAGCCGTGCATTCGATGACCAAACGCCTCACGATGTTATTCATCGGAGGCAATAAAATCTCCCTCATTTGCCGTATGAACGCCTTGTAAGCCTGTTCGCAGAGGTGGAACGAAGGAGGAACCGGTGCTCTGAGCGTTTTTGGCCGGGGATGTTCCAACTCCTCGCCGTCCGCAACGGCCTCGCTCTCGCGATCCTCTAAAGCTCCACTGTATATTGCCCCTCTATTCCAGGGGCATGGATGTTGAGCGGGCACGTCACCAAACTTGCTCCTGTCGGTGTAACCGTACCACTGATCGGCAGGACTGATCCAATGGCCGTCCAGGATGCGGTTTCTTGCCCAATCGTTGATCGCGATCTCGCGAATGCCTCCCGCATCTTCCGTGATGCTCATTAACTCTGGGTCGTCTGCATCGCTCACATCCTCTTCGCTGGTATATTCCTCCCCAGCCTCGGCCCTAGACACGAACCGCGATGCGGCAACGGCTTGCTTCAGCATGTCGGCTAACTTCGTGTTCGTTCGTAGCCAATGTTTCTCCCGAGCGAGGGCGATGACATCGCCGATTGTACCTTCTCCAAGGTCAATGAATGCCTCCAACGACTGGCGCGCCTCCCAGTCGGGACACTCCCAGTCAGTGCCTCCGACGGCCTCCCGATCGGCTGGGATGTGTTGCACTCGTCGCCAGAGCCACTCGGCTCTACAAAATCGGCATGTCGCCTCTACGCCTGGCCAAGTCTCTTCGTCCTCATTCTCGACGCAGAAGACTGACGTTCCTTGGGCAAATTCTGCCTCTCCCTCCGATGCGGGTGCTTCTCGCAAGCAAACCCCGCAGTAAGTGGTCTTCCTATGCTCGCGACATGTGACGATGCTTCCTAATGTTGGAGTCAAAAGCTGTCGTTTGGCGTAGGCCAGGCCGTTATTTGTGTATGGCACGTTAATTCGGCATACCATACACGAGGAGCACCGAACTGTCTGGAAATGATGGTATGGAGTGACGCGTAGGGTTGCGGCATTGGTCGAACCGGCTGTGGCGTTGGATTGTACGAACGCGCAATGCCCAAGGACGTTGTGCGGGTCGATAACAGTGAGCGCATGTTGCCAGAACAAGTGATGCTCCACTGGTGACAAAGATGAATGACAAGCATGGCATAAGCAAAGAAGACATACGAGCCAACCCCCACGACGGACAAAGGCACATCAACTTCTCGAGGTCAAGCGCCTGGCGCAAGACCAGGAATACGAGGCGCGAGGGCCACAACTCCCGCATTTCCCAAGTATTTGGAGGGCGAATGGCTGTTGTGACATCGAGCAGATAGAAAGTAGCGATAAGTCTTTGGATACAAGAATCAGTGACGAGTGGCGCGAACGAGAATGGGCAAAATGAACAAAAGCGGACCTGATTATTTCGTGGGGTAGCTGCTGCCATGATCTGGTGTATTTTCCCTTGTAGACTATGGCTCCGTCGCGGGTGGACGAGGAGAGAGACATGGAGTTCGACGAGGAGGACAAGTTGACGGTGGCCATTGCGGCGTCACAGTATTGTGGGTGGTGACAGATCGCGACTGAGCGGTGTCACAACGCACCCGTCAAGCCACTCCCACTTTCCCACGCACGGACCACCCCTATTATCCCCCCGCTTTTCCAACCCAATTTGCTAGAAATAAATCACGGTCGTCGCTGCTGCTACATCGACGTTGGAACAACCACTGGTCTGATTGAGGTCGTTCAGCCTCAGCCCTGCTCATTCTCCGACGCGCTTTTCTTGCGACGTAATATATTCACGATCGGATAGTGTAGGCGGATCTTCCGGATCCATAAGATCTTTGACAAGATTGTGGCGCGAAAGTACTTGCGCGGAACCACTTCCAGCGAGCTGTCTTGCTTAAAGTCGCTGAGTATTTTATCTTCACGATTACAGGAGAGCCACCTGGATACATCGACGAATTAGCGTACTTGAGTTTCATCTCTATCGGTGAGCGGAAACCAATCGTTGGTGTCTTAGCTCGGCGCTCCGTTCTTTCTCACCGCACGACCTACCTTGAAGCCTGAATAGCTAGGTAAAATTGCGCGCTATCTTTAATGTTCGGCCTCTAGATCTGTCTTATTATTTGGGGAAATTTTTCAAATGTGAGTATTCCTGACCTTTTGAGATTGTTCTTCCTGGGTTGGACGGCACCTGGCCAATTTTATTCATGCTGTCCCATTGTTAAATCAATGAACTTGAATCTGCACAGGCTTCTATCAGTGGATCTCTTGATTCCGGATTCGTATTTTGGGCGTGGCTTCACTGGATCTTCTGTCGCTGTCTGGTCTCCTATCGTGACATATATCCTTGCTACGTCCTGCAATACATTCAAGTTGACTTCAGACTAGGAGAGCCGTCTTATGTCAACGACAATGCGCTGAACCTCCGTTTCCGAGGGCAGAAGTGAGGGCTTGGCCAAATCTTGCCTGACAACTTGAGACGTGTCTTCTTACACTCGGACTTGGAGTCAAGAGGCAGGCAGATCGTCGGAGCTATGGTTGTGGATCTAAGTACTGAATGAGCTCTCATCCTGATTGTCGATGTGTGAGTATTTGTTACGACTTGTTTGTCCTCGTGTTCCTGCCTTGCCTGCACAGCATGCAAACCCGATGCGAGTTTTCTCGCATATCGTATCTTTGGCTAGGACGGGTTACGCACCCCGGCTTCTTGACGGTGATTTGCTATAGGGCCATGCGCAGGACTTGTCAGCCCTTAGTGCACGCATGAACGAAGACAGCCGCTTCTCCGCAGAGTGGGTCACGTATTACGAATGACATGTTGCGGTACCAGTGGGCTTGGTTAGCTTCATCTTTCCTGTGCCGACATACGGACGGATTCCGTAGCGGTCTTATTGAGAACCGCCACGGATAATTGACTCCTATCTGCGCCTTGGGACGAAGTGTCGAGAAATTCAACTCAAGAACTCGAACAGTGACAATTCAGGTATGGATCAAATTTGCGGTGCGTTGGAAGTACTATTCTTTTCTATCCTGCTGAGATGCTGTTCGCGTAGTGAACCCAAATGACCCCGCTCAAAACTCTAGATGTTCCAGTTATGGTCATCGTTGACGTTCACACGCTACAGCAGCGGGAGTGAATGATACGGTCAAGCCTCTGTGCTTCCGTGTATATCACGTTCGTACGTATATGTAAAGGTGTAGAGGATGAATTGAACTCCTGGCAAGCAGGTTAATTGGACGGGGACTTGCCCAGAAACTCAACTATTCCCTTTATGCAGCATGTTCAATTGCTATTCAATAGCTCCAGCCTTCGCAGAACCGAAGTACGTACGCCTGCCTTGGTCGAAGTAAGCATCGTGCTGTAACGTATCATCGGTCACCTGCAGGGTCTTCCTTCCGAGTCTGCTCTGAGCGAACGTCCCTTTCATAAACATTCTATTACACCGCAACTGTGATGCAATCAGGTGTGGGCTCATGACATCCGTTAGACAATCGACGAAAGTACAGGAATCAAATATCAGCATGTTCGTGCTTCCTACGTCGCCTTCGCTTCTTTGCCGTATGGGTACTCTGTTGCACAACATCTGCCTCCCTGTCCACCACTGCGGCCGAGACATCCTCCTCCACATGCGGTATTTGTCGCTTTCGCTTGCGCAACTCCTTCCTTGCTTCAACCTCTTCTGTGTTTTGGTCGACAACATCTGTAGTTTCTACCACCAATGTCGCTCGCTCCTTTAACCGCTCCTTCTTACCCCTTCGCTTCCTTGCGTTGTCACCTACGCCATCTTGTCCCTGTGGATCAAAACCACGTTCCTTCAACTTTGCTTTGAGCTCCTTCAACCTCGATGTACGACTCGCATCCCAGTGCTTGCCCTTTCCTTCCTTGCGATACGGTGCATACTTCTTGATGCCCATATACGAGTTCAACTCCGCGTCGGTTGCCATCAATACCTCGACAGGCGATAGGGCGAAAGACTGCGGTTCCACTTTGGCGTATTTGAAACGTGTAGGTAAATCCCCAACCTAAAAGGTGGTGAATAATCATGAAAGGTACCCTTGCGAGTACCCACGCACCATGTCGTTAAATTCCAATTCGTACAGCTCATCCATGTACTCGTCTAGCTTGCGCTTGCGCATCTCTTCTGTGCCATCCCACTCCTCATCGTCAAGATCTCTGTGGAGACGCTCGACCTCTGCATCCATCTCGTCCACGTCGACCCCTCCTTCGTCAATCACATCTGCAGGTTTGTCTTTCTTCTTCTTTTTCTTCTTTTTTGACTTGGACTCGGAAGGCTCTGAAGGTACAATATTGTCGATGTCGATCTCATCATCCCACTGGGGTTTCTCTTCGTCTACTGCATCCGCATCGTCGTCATTACCATATAGACCCGTCATCTGGCGATCATGCGTATCCGGGTCCCAGTCGCCGTCGAGGTCAAGTACCTGCAGCGCTGCAGAAACATAAAACATGCGCTCAGTATAAAATTTCGGTAAATGTTAGAATATTTGTTGACCTGCAGTGTCCTCGAGGTTTTTGCCACCTTCCTTCCCAATTTTTTCTAGCTTCGCACGGAGCTCCTTCATCTTCAACGCTTTTAGTCTCTTCACCTCTTCCTTCTTCTTCAACAATTCTTCCTCTTTCCTGGCTATGCGTTTCTCTCGTGCTTCCTTTCGCGATGTATCTTCGCGTCGGACTAGCGAGGGAAGATTCCTAGGATACCGCGCAATAGTTGCTGCGTCTCTGGAGGTAAATGGAGACTTAAGCATCTGGAGAAAACGAGTGCGAGAGGCACACGAAGGTATACGCACGGTTCCTCGAAACGGAAATTATACGAGCTCTCGAATCGATCCACAACCTCGTCAAACTCGTCCTCATCCAGCTCTTCACTCTGCGCATCCGCGCCAGTACCCTCTTGCTCTTCCACTTCATCTTCTAAATCCGAGTCAGCAGTAGAAGTACCGTTTGCCTTGCCCTTGCCCTTCTTGGATGCAGTAATCTCACTGTAGGTCGGGAGCCGACGCGCCGAGCGGTCAACCCAACCGCGATTCAAGATGTAGCTAGCCAATTGTTCATACTGTAAGATTGATGAGCACCTGAGAGTCAAAATCTCTGTACGCACTTTATGAGGAACTCCTGGCCTTCATCCTGCTTGCTTTTCTTCGTCTTCTCTTCGCCTTTCTTCTTCTTCTTGGACCTTTCAGCTTCATCCGCAGAACCAGATGGCACGCCTCCGTCTTCTTCGATCGTGACGATATGGGTCAAGTCCTCACCGACCTCCTTCTCCAGGAAAGCACGATACTCCTCTTTTTCCCGCTCAAGCTCGTCTTTTCCCTTCACTCGAGGGACTAGAAGGTCATCGCCGTCACTGTCTTCGTTGACCGCAGTGTGGAATGCAGCAATGGTCTCGCTTCTCAAGACAGCCTGCTCTTCGTAATGCGTAAGAGGCTCCGGAGAAGGTGACGGGGATTTCGAGTCGAGAGCGGAAGCCAGTGCGTGCTGGCGCATCGTGAGGGGCTTCGACTGCAATGCGGTTCAGTATGGTATGAAAAGGATGATATGTAGTATGTAACTACCTTGTTTTTCCGTGTGTGCACGGAGATCGTCGCGTCGCCAGTCTTCTGCTGCTCCTCTACGGGATATATATAATCAATAGATACGCAAATGTAGTAGAACACACCTACCCTCGAAAACATCTATGTCCTTCTCATAAATTGCAGGGTCCTTTCTCCTGATGCGCGCAAGCGTTCTTAGGATGGCTGCGTCCATAGCGGGTGTGAGTTCCTCCCCATCCTCGTCCTCCGACTCTGCATCTTCCGAATCTTCCTCGGACTCTACATCATCCTCGTCGACATCTGACCCGTACTTCTCCTTGACTGCCCTCTCGTGAGGTCAAATTCTCATAGAAGTGTGTGCGCGCTCACGTTTGGCGAGCTCTTCGCGCTCTTTTCCGTACTGATACGCCTTTGCATAGTGCTCACTGATGGTAAAAGTGTGGATGTCTTCAGTGTCAGAGCCTTCCGACAGCATGGTGGAGCCCAGGGGGCAGTGAAGATCTGCAGAGGTTTTCAAGCCACATCATGCGCACGTGATTGACGCGTTCATGTCAAGCGCCCATTCTGACTGAGCGCACGACCTCCTTGTCTTCTGCACTAATCTTTGGAACACGCAACATGGCATGTACTTTTCTCTCAAATCGAGGTCCTAGTCTGAACTAGCTACTTATGGCTATCTTGTGCTATGCTTTATATGTAGGCCTCGCTGCACTTCTGTTCCGAATGCAACAATCTGTTGTATCCCAAGGCTGACGAGCAGCGTCGCATCATGGTCTATGCTTGTCGCATATGCCCCTACGATGAGATAGGCGAAAACAGTTGTGTGTACAGGAATGATTTATTGACTGTGACAAAGTGGGTGTTTTTTGTGTTTGACTGGCCTGCCGTGTGACATGCTCTTCTGTGATGTATGCAATACCCCTACAATGACGGGTTATTTCTTGGCGCATTGATGAGCAATAAATACGCTGTGTTTTTTCAGAGTTCTGACTCTTTTATATAGAGAACAAGTTGGCGTGACGACGGACCTAATGAACGATCCAACACTGGTGAGTCAGAACCGGATTATTCATCGTCGCAGCCTCAATTTCGCACATAGGCCCATTCAAACATGCAATGCCCAAAATGCGGTAATAATGAGTATGTGGTCGTTCCCTATTCTGCTGTGGATCTATTGACCGCTTGCCACGTTGCTCGTCTGTCTTCTTATCTTCGCAGCGCCGTCGTCTTCCAAGACCAGTCAAAGCGAAAAGAAACCCGCATGATTCTCTTCTATGTTTGCACGAGGTGTAACCATAATTACACGGATCCGACACTCCCCAAACAAGATTTTGAAACGGAATAATACTCGGGTACATGAAGGTACATATGATGGCGGTGGATGGTGGGGTCAGCTTTCCTTTTTCCTCTGGCAACGTAGATGCATTTTACTACTGCTAAAGACATCTTGTACGATATAAAAGGTACTCATATACTTAATATTTCCGTGGAGGTCGTCCTGTATACACGTCATCGAATAACACTTGTGTAGCGGCGCTGCATTTGTAGCCCTGCTAAAGCAACTAGTGCAAGACCCTCTCTCCAAAGGTTGTTGTGCCGAGACTAGTCCGCTGATCGGACACGGATTTCCTGAGGCATGAAGCTTTGAAGGTCGAAGCAGAATGTCTACTCTGCCTGGGGAGACTAGTCCGCTGCCAACCTGCGATTGGCGGCTCCCGGACAGCTCACGGCTCAAAGATGCTTCACCAGCACCACTCACACTACGCCATCCACTCGCCAGTGAGAGGCAGAGTCGTACATGTGCAACACCTTGCAAGCGGATATCTCCCGAAATATGAACAGAACCCCGCTCTGGTCGGGAGCTAAGTCATGCGGAATCGCCGAAAGGTAGGTAGGTAGAAACAACGCCGAAAGAAGTGTCGGAACATCCATACAATTGAAGAAACTGTATATGTCAGAAAACCATAGCGGATGTCTAGTCCTCGCCTACCTCGACTCGATCATACGAGCAAATCGAGTAATTATAACCGAACGCAACACCAACTCACACTTTCGAACCCTTTCTAAATCACCACCAAGGCTACCAAAGGTGTCAGAGCTCATCGCGGGGATAGCGGTTGCGTCCTGCATCCTGCGGTCGGGACAGAGCCGGCTGGAAAGGCTCCAAGAAACGCGCCGTATTGACATCAACGTACCAGCCATTAAACACGAGCTGCGGGTCTTGATGTCCCTGCATGGGCCGCCCCTCCTGCCAGGCTATCGGATTGCGTGGATCCGGGCTAGGTCCCAGGTACGAGGAGGTAAGCAGCCCAGAATCCATCATCGACCTGACCCGCAGCCTCGCTTCAGCGAACAGCATGTTGTACGAGGCCATCCTCTTCTTCTTCTTCTCCCTCTTGTCAATGTAATCAAGGATGGCCAAGGTCCATGGATCCCTAACGTCTCCGACCTTGACAGCCTTAACGTTGATTTGAGTGTCGAAGCATGCTGATAGGAGGATGCCAGATGAGCGTCTGCGAAGGTCGAGCATACCGCCACCGAAACAAGCGGTGCAAAGCATTGTCAGATTCGCACTCTGATGCAGGTTCTATATGTTGAGTGAGTAATCTGATATCGAAGTTTGAATTAAGGTTGACTTGCTCACCTGCTGGACGGTGTCCGCAATCCAGTCGTCATGAACAAGCTCTGCGTTCTGACCATCCTCTGTCTCCGCAAACTTCCAAGATTCATCGCGCCCACGTTCATTCTCGTCATTCCCATACAGGGGAACACCGTGAGCATCGACATATAAGAAACGGATGTCGCCAGGCTTGGTGTCTTTGAGTAGTGCAGTGAACTTGCTCTTGAACTGCTCAGCTGTCGGCGCTTCCTGGCCTCTCTTGGTCAGTCTCGGGCGATCCTTAGGCTCAGCATCATAATATAACATCTCGACATTGCTGATGCCAAAACCGAGAGTGTCGACGAGCATGTCACGAACCCTGTGAATGCCTTCATCGACGCCGACATCGTAACGGATAATGAGTGCCTGTGATATTGGACGATGAACTCAGCACGACAGTAATGTGGAACCAGCCATTGCCGACCTTTTTCTTCTGCAGGAGGTCATTGGCCAGCTGCAAAGTTATGTGTTCGGATTTCTCGTCATGGTGACCGCTCATTGTCAAGGTAATCCTATCTCTGGTCCGATCCACCTCCCCATCGAACCTGTAGAAGGTCACCGGTATCCCGAGAGTCTGCGCATCGCCGGTAAAGGGACCCGCCGTGACATCGAGAGTACCCACACGGTCGCGGTTAATCTTTTTCCGGCCGTCAGCATCCTCCATCCATTGCCAATACACGCAAATGGGATCGCCTCCATTGAATGTGGCGGGAACGATGACAGTAAGCATCTCGTCGATAGCGTAGTTACGCCAAGAAAACTTCCCGGTGTACACAAGGCACCTGGGAGTGAACGGAGGCTCCTTGTAACTGAGCTGTAAAACCATGGGGTCTGACCTGGAACCGTTCGCGTCGCGCATCGTGAGCGTCAGTGTCTCTTCATCGGCATCCTGAGCGCCCTCAAACTTGTAATAGTGATCATGGAAAAATCCGATATCCCTGGTCACCGTGACGCTGTCAATGGTCCCATTGAGGGAGACCATCACTTTCTCCTCCCCAGATTCATCTTTAGTCCACTGCCAGAATGCAGAGACAGGTTCTCGCAGATCAAAGGTTGTCGGTAGAACGACCGTAATTGCCTAGTCCACTGCGTAATGCAGAAAGTTGAGTTTTCCTCTGTATATGAACATCCTGAAACGGAATTGTTAAGCAAAAGGCTCTCAGCTCTTGTTGACTACGTACACAGGTGAAGCTTGGAATTCAACTTGGGGAGTAATTCTGCACAGATGCGGAAGAGATATCAATTGAGATGGAGAAGTGACGGACGAAACCTCACCAAGGCTGCTATCATACATCCTTCAGAATTGAATTCATACTGCGCTCGAACCTTCTGCACACATCTGAGGTAGAGGATCGCTAGGAAGCAATCATATTGTAGCCATTGGACAACCCCAAAATCGCTCCACGTGTAGGTGCGCGTGGGGTGCGCACTTTGTGCTGAATTAAACGGGCTTCCCGTGCATTCACGCACTATTGCGATCGTTGCTTCGGCATCGTGCATCGCAGCAGGTGGTCCGTAGCAGTGACGCGTGTTAGTTGGCCTACAGAGCTCTTATCGGCCTTACAACTTCAGGTAATGTCGCCAGATACTCACCTGAATTACCCCATGCACTCACTACGCGCCATGCGCATCCACAGGTGGCACGACACCGATCTGCGAACTCCACACATTGTGAATCTGCTGTACATACCTTTTCGTAAATAGCGGACGCTACCGGTTGCTGCGTGGAGCTGCTGCTACAACGCCGGTGAACACGTAACAGCGCACCTCCTCATGAGAAGTTGTGTATTTATGTGAGCCCAGATCTTTACAGGTCGGCGTTGGGTCGGCGCGCACCCGGCCGTGTGGATCGATGGATGCGCAGTCACGGTCGCATTCATAGGTCCGCCACTCAGGCTGCTGGCATTCTTCACCTGCATCCGGCCGTGGACAACCCGTTTATTATTCAAAAACCGGGATTGACTGTGTTAAAGAACTTCCTAAGAAGTATGGGGTAAATACTAAACCGTCAACGGATATTGATCGACACTCTTGAGGATTTCTCCTGCACTACATCATGCAGGCACCATTGCATATCGCCGCCAAATTGAGGGATATGCTTCCCTAGCACTGCGTGGAATGTGACACGAAAAAAGAGAGTTCGGTAGATAGAAGTCGTCCTTGTCGCTGCATGGCAGCAAGGACATCAGCAAAAGCGGGAAATTTTTATGTAAGGTTACACCAGTTACATCGGGGTAGCAAGGGTTGTGTAAGTTACACAGGACTAGTAATATTTAAACTGATTTGTAATCACAGTAAAGGTAGTAGAGGTCTATAAAGAAGATAACATAGAACAGAAATTGATACACAAGTTAGAACAAAAATACATGTCGACAAAGAGTTGTCGAGCGATGTAACCCAAGTCAAACGTTGCTCACCAGGTTACACAGTCGGAAGAACTTCTAGACGCCTAGCACTCTCCGCAGAACTCGCTCCGAGTTGCTCTTGCATCGTTCATATTCAGGCCCCCGGGTACCGCACCAAATGCAAGCATTAAGGCAAGGCTCTTGTCCAGGCCACAGTGAAAAGATCCGAAGTTGTTTCGAGGCAATTCTGAGGCAATCTGAGGCAATTCTGAGGCAAGTCTCGATGCATCGCGACTACCGTCCGCCGACAATTCTCGCCACCCTCACTCGCGTATAAATTCGCAGCATCTGCCACTGCAATGTGCCTGCCAGGTGAGTGCCGTTACACGCGGCTAACTGTATCGCACAGGTGATACCGGGCTGTTGTTGCGCGCAGCTTGGTTGGGCTTCCGTGGTTGGAGCGACACGCGGTGCGTTCTATTTCAATCTCTATTGTTTTATGCCTGTGGGCGGAAATGTAAGTGTGTTGATTCCTAGTGTTGGTTGTTACAGCGGTACATGGGTGTTGGTGCGGTAAGTAGACCTAAATACTTGTTTGTTATGGCGGCACGCGGGTGTTGTTACGCGGTAAGTGGGCGTTTCGACGGCACGCGGGTTTTGGTGCAGTGAGTAGGCCCAAGTAGTTCTAATGTAGAGCACTTTGTACGTGTTGTACCGCTGTAATATAATATGTTGACATAATTTGGAATACTTTGAGAGTTATGAAACCGATCCGAATGAATCGGTTTCGGTCTGTTTAGGACGGTCTGTGCCTACGTGCTACAAGTGCATAATAAATTTTGCAGGAAGTTATATGAGCTTCATAACCTGTAAAATGTTTCCAGAGTTTATAACTGATTATGCCAGTTGGCAACTCTGCAATCTGACTCAGGATTACAATGCAATGTATTGCTTGGTGAAAAAATTGCACAAGTTACGTGGGATTACACCTTTATAATCTCTTTGGAGAAAATTCCCGGTTTTGCTGATGGAGATGCGGCGATACCTGCACGCCGGGCCGGCCGTCGCGAACAGCCGCTGCGACTTGGCTGCGATGGTTCTTTTTGCACAGGCTCCCGGTCAAGTAACTGCCAACTGACAACATAAATATGCCCTTGAACCTCCCCGGCATCCTTGCTCTTCTACATCTTCTCATCAATCCGCGGCTTGTGATACCATCCATAGCCGTTAAAGGTGAAAGGCCTGTCTTTCCAGAGGGGTTAGGCCATCTAACCTCTCGATGCCATGCAGTAAGATATCCGCCAACTTGATTTTCCTGAGCTACGCAGAGTCGGCTACCGTGGTGTAGTCTTTGACAAGGATAACTGTCTGGTATGTGCTATCGTACAAGCGGAGGGGTTTGAGCTTATCCAGTCGCAGACCATACCGCATCAGGATGCATTGATACCAGCGCTGAAGGTGAGTACCCAAATGATTTTTGTGAGGACATCCAGTCGGTTGATGAACACCATTCTTGTGCCTCAGCAAGCGTGGGATGAGTGCCGGGAGACCTTTGGAGATAAAAACGTGTTAATTGTGAGCAATACCGCTGGATCGCATCTGGATGGAGGAGATATTCAGGTGGGTAGTCAAATCTCGAGCATCCCTTCATTTTGACACCCACACGCGACCTTGTCAGGCTGAGTCTGTAGCCCATCATCTCTCTGTCGCAGTACTCCGGCACTCGTCCTTCAAGCCCTCATATTCCTGCATAACATCCATACGGGCTTATTTCGCTTCCCTCCCAACTCCTGTTGCAGATAATGAGCTGGTCATAGTCGGGGACCGCATTTTCACAGACATCGTCATGGCCAATCGGATGGCTCGAAGGTTTGTGCCAAGGCCAAGCGTTCACGAGAAGGAGTTTCAAGAGGAGAAGACGGTCACCCGGAGAACGGGCCCGTTGGCAGTTTGGACGGAGAATGTTTGGCAGAGGGACAACACCTTACTTCGGTGGATGGAGAAAGGTGTCATGCGTGGCATGGAGCGGTGGTTTGTTAACCCTCGCGATCTCACTGCAAGGGAAGAACTGAGAAGGAGATTTGTGAAGGATTTACCGGTATCGGAGCTCAGTGCCACAACCGAGGGGTGGCTGCACAAGCTGTGGACTACGTTCCGCAAATAGTGTGCGGTGATCACAGCAACGCTTGTGTGAATTTTCACGGCAAAAACATAGCAGAATTTGTTAGTTACATCCCGACTGCTGCTGAGAAATGTTGTGTCACTTGCAAGGAATAATTCAGGTCAATGCCGATCTCCGTAGAAGAAATCGTGGACCCGGAGACCAAGCTGCTACGCGTCGCGGCAGATCACGTGTGTTACGCCACGCTCAGCGGCGGCTCACCGTGTCAGTTACTCTCCACCATCTCCGTGTCGTCTCTGCAGCTCCATTAAGGCCAACTGGAGGGTCAGACGGCTCAGTCTTGGCCGTTACCATGCTATTTGTAGCGGGGACCTTCAGGGCGAGGGTTCTCGTCTTGCCTATCCGCCCTTCCTCTTTGCTAAGGCTTAATTTATCGGCGTGCAAGTCCGACCGGTTCAGAGTTGCAAGCAGATTCCTGGCGACCCAGTCAACCCCGACCCCTCCTTCCACTCCTCATTCTTCAAATACAACTCAAGATGCACATCCGCAGTCAACAATAGAACGCTCAAGACCGCTGCCGGTGAAACCAAAGTCTTCATTATTATCACGTCTCTTCCCCTCGTTTATCTCAGGCGCCGCTGGTAACGCTTCGTCTTTCAGCAAGATTGTCGCGCTTGCGAAGCCGGAACGCAAACCGCTTGGAATTGCTGTTGGTCTCTTGGTTGTGTCTTCTTCAATATCCTTGAGTGTGCCCTTCACGGTCGGAAAGCTCATAGATTTCTTCACGTCCACGGAACCCGTAGGTGGTGGTTCGGTGTCATCGGAAGCGTGTTCTGAACGTTATATGTAGCAAATACCGCTAAGCCTCTCGTTGTGGCAAGCTTCTGCGCTACTACTGTTACTCTTTACCACCGGTGCCGTGGCTAACGCTGGACGTGCCATGCTAATGCGTTTGTCGGGTACGTCGTTAAGTTTGGAATGTCGCCTCATGTAAGGGTAACTTAACGACGTCCGTTTGAAGGTCAGCGGATAGTGGCTCGTTTGCGCGAGCGGATGTACGGTGCAGCTCTCCGGCAAGAAGTGGAATTCGTTGAACGTGGCGAAGGGGATGTGCTCAGCAGACTTAGCTTGGATTCCAGTATTGTGGGTGAAAGGTATGCATCAGATGTTGCTATTAGGCAGTTTGGGCACCACCATTTTCCCGCCGTCAAAAAGTGGCCCCAAATTCCCGATTTCGGTGGTGGGCTACTGTCCAAAATTACGTCGACTGCGGCGGAAATTGTCGAAAAGTGGCCGTGCCCGAACTGCCTATTCTTACTCTCCCATTTTTTGTTTTCGATATGTCCAAAAGATGGCCAGGCAAGGGTGCCATCTTTATTTGCTGCCGCAAATCAACAGAAGCTCCTGCGAAGAAGTGTTCTTCGTCATGAATTGTACCGCGCGCTTCGCTTGCATCTGTAATAGACTTCTACGGAAAACATGGTGACTGAGTTGATGACTTAGCTTGACAAACAACTTGTCGGACGGCCTACGTTCTGTGATCATGGCTTCAGCTGGTCGTAAGTAATTACTCGTGATGAGTACTCGGAATCTTGCTCACAACCATTACATCAGTTGGTGCTATGTTCTACATCTCACCCACATTAACGTTATTGATGCTCACGGTTGTTCCTCCTGTCTCGCTTGGTGTCGTACGTTGTTGTACTGGTTACGGTCGAAGACAATCTCAAACGGCTCTGCAGGTGTTCTACGGTCGATATCTCAAGCGATTGTCGAACAAGACTCAAGAAGCTCTGGGCGACATGACCAAGGTCTGTTTATTTGCATTGTGTTTGCATTGCTACTCAATATCGGTCTGCTTGTCTTGACTACCTAGGTTGCGCAAGAATCCCTCTCTGCAATGCGTACAGTTCAAGCGTTCAACGCGCACCCTCATGAAGAACGGAAATTTCACGAGAAAGTTGGCAATGTGCTTTCTCTTGCACGAAAGGAGGCAATCGCCAGCGGAATCTTCTTCGGTAGTACAGGGTGGAGTGGTAATGTTACTCTTCTGGCTCTTCTCGGTTATGGTTAGTCAGCTTCAATGTCTGCGTGCCAGGTGCCCGGTGTATTCCCTACTTTCCCCTCTCACAGAATTTTGTTACTTACCATTGCCGCAGGAGGATCTCTAGTTACTCAGGGAGCAATCACTGTTGGAGACTTGACCAGTCTGCTGTTGTACACAGTATATGTTGGAAGTGGTCTACAGATGCTAACGTAAGGCAGATAGTTAGCTCAAGATTATTTTGCTAATTCTTCATATCTTCAGCTCGTTCTTCGTATGTACTCGTTATCCTGTTGTCGACGACATGGTCACTGAAGTTGCAGTACTCTTTACCATCTCTTAGTCGTCCATTATGCGGGGCGTCGGTGCCGGTGTCCGCATCTTCGAGTTGCTGGATCGCAAGCCAGCAATTCCTCCAGATACAGGTATTATAGTAGATCACTCGCGCCGCGGTCCTGTTCGATTTGAAGATGTCTGCTTCGAGTATCCGAGCCGACCAGGGGTACAGATCTTGAAAGATTTACATTTAGAGGTGAATGTCGGTGAGAGCGTCGCGATCGTGTAGGTATTCTGTTTGTTGTCGAGGGGCTACTTCCCTGTGATAACATTTCTTCTCAGCGGAAAGAGTGGAAGTGGCAAATCGTCCATCAATGCTTTATTGATGAGGTATTATGACCCCGTCAGGGGCAGAGTTACTTTTGATGGGCAAGGCAGGTCTGCCATGGTACTCTTCTGAATGTGTGCTGATATGGTCAGTCTAGACATCCGAGAGTTTAAGCCTTCCTCGTGGCGTAATTTGATCGGCGTTGTCCCTCAGGCTAGTGGTGCCGCCGTGCTGATTCTGCGAACATAACTCAAGACTCCCTTTTTTTAGGACCCCGTGTTGTTCACAGGAACAATTGCGTCGAACATAGCCTATGGTAACGAGTCAGCTACTCGCGAGCAGATTGAAGCTGCGGCTCGTGAGGCCAACTGTGAATTCGTGTGGGGAATGCCGCATGGTTTCGATACAGAAAGTAGGTGGCATCGTGTTGCGTTAACTTGACACTCACCTGGAACATTAGTCGGGCGATTGAGTCTCAGTGGTGGCCAGAGACAGCGCCTAGCCATCGCCCGAGCCTTGTTGAAGAAGCCTGCGATCTTGGCCCTTGACGAAGCCACTAGTTCCCTAGATGCAACATCCGAACATCGGGTGAACATTGACGATTCTGGCCTTTATTACCCCTTCACTGACACCTTGGACCTGGCAGGTCAACGACGCGATTGACAAAATTCTTAGGTCGAGACAGACAACATGCCTTATCGTCGCGCATCGCCTTTCGACGATTGCGCGGGCAGAGAAAATCGTTGTATTAGAAGGTTCGCCTTGTTCCGCTAAGTTTGTGAAGCCGGGTGACCGATGGTCGTGGCTTACTCTTCCAGATGGACACATCAGTGAGGCGGGAACATTTCGCCAACTGGTACGTTTCAAATGTATCATTCTCTGCAACGAGCAATGCTGATAATGTCCATCTAGGTCAACAACGAGAACTCAAGGTTCCGGGAGCTCGTGGCTGCCCAGCTCAACGCCGCCGCCGGTGAATCTACCTTATCCAGCTCAGCAAAGCCAACACCGACAATTACAATAAATTCACACACCCCCTCCCCACCGCCTCGACCCGAGGCACAGCTGTAGCTCAAAATGTGATCGCAACGAAGTATTCCACTGCTGAAGGGCTACCTGGAGTCTCGGACATCATTATAGAATCTCATCAGTCTGTATTCAACGACTTATCCGCATAATGTTGTATTTAGGCACAAGCAGGCTCTCTACTCATGAGCTATTTAATGTGATACGGTAGACCTGGGCCTCATGACGAGCATAGTGGAAATCGCCTGCGTGTTCGCCTACATACACGACAGGCAACGGTGGCTTACCAACAGCCGCAACAGACAGATAGCAGAGAGGGAAGTGTCTTAAAAGCCTCTTTCTGACCTTCTAGATGCGCACTCGACAAAGAGTTTTTCTGACAACAGGATGTGTTCGGCCTGAGACCCCAGCGTGACAGGCTGGTTGCCTTACATGGAAGATGATCGGAGGATAGTAAATCTGTCCGTTTAACTGCAATGACTTGTAGTTATTCCATCTCTGCAATCCACCTCCATTGATAGATTGTCCGAGGCCATTGCCCGTCGTGATACAAGACGTCAAATCGATCTCTTCTCAGGGTCACGATGCACACACAGCACGATGCACACACATGATGCACTTTCGGTACACAAAGACGCGCGCATATTGCTTCAGCCCACTCACCATCCACATACCACTCTGCATATCAGTGGGAACCATCATGATTCACGCATCACAAGCCTCGATGTCACCCACTGTGACGCAATCCCCGCAATCAATGCACGAGGGCGGTATGCCCACCTCGCAGACCGTCCCGGAGGCTACAGCTGTCGCGGAGATTATCCGGTCTATGAAAGGATCTTTGGATGAGCTGAGCGTTTGTCATTTCCGCGTGCATCAGTCTCCTGTATTCTGATTGGGGAACCTATGTCCGCTTCATCTTCAGAAAACGTTCGACGTATTGGCAGGACAGACTGCCGATGGGCAGAGACCACGCGCAGAACGGCGGGCTGTACCAGGAATCGCCGAGTGGGTCGCACCACAGATATTCCTAGTCGTATGAAGGAATACTGAGTTTTGCTTCAATGCCAGTTTTCAGGAACAGATGAAAGCCTCAGACCAGAGACAGGAAGAGCAAATTGAGGAGATCCAGCGTGAGGCGCCGGGCAGGTATTAGAATCTGATATATTCCATCTGCTGAACCTTCTTACAGGGCTCTTCGACGATGTATTGAAAACCGATGTCGTCGAGCATCTCCAGACCGCGAGTGAGTGATCATAGACCGTATATGCTTGAAAGTCCTCCAGTAAGCTGCCGAACCAGTCGCAAAAGAGCTGTCGCAACAAATAGACAAGGCGGTGGAAGAGCAGGTCTCTCTGCTGCTCCCACAGTATATACCTCAAGACCTTGTGAACGAGATTGTCTGTCATAGGCGACAGCTGGAGGAGCTGGAGCGACAGCTGCACAACTCGTGGGTACCGTGTTGTATTCGTCATCGAGTTGAGCTGAGGCAAGAATCTAGGGAGAGCCGGCATGGCAATTCCATGCTGAGTACGGAGCGAATGAGCGATCCATTGCACACCATTTTGAAGCCGAATGGAGAAGTGAGCGATTTCTTCCCGAAAGACCTCGAAGGATTATTCTACATGGATGGTCAGTGTTTGAAAATGCGCTTTCGGTGCTCACCTGAGATATATTATTTTGTCGGCATGACACAGCGGAGACTGCGAAAGTACTGATGGAGGAGTACGATATCGCTGAAGAAGTGTCCACATCACGGGAGCGCAATGTAAACTCCCTCATGCGGTTCTGCGGGGTGACATATCAGATGGTGCGCACACAATGTCATCTGTTTTGAGTCGTCGCCGATTCTGATAGTATATGAAGACTGTTCGTGCTGGTGGTCAGACACCAAAACTTTCGGTAATCACATAACGGACGGGACTGGATCCGAACATGTCATCGGGTATACGACAACGCGCAGTTGTTCAGGTGCTGTACAACCGCGAGAGTCGTGCAACCGAGACATTGTCGTGATCCGGAGAACATTTCGTACCTGTACTACGTAGTCACGGAAGGTTGCTGAGCATGCACGGATGGAACTGCAGAGAATGTGTTCTTGTACATTGTACAACGTACATGTACATACTATGATCGATGAAGGATATCCGTAATCTATGAATACGAGCTACATCAGTAGCTGAAGTCCGAACTGAGCAAAATACACCTTCGTAGGTTTCACTTTCCCCCACCCATCAACTCGCTGACAATTCGCACAACCACTCCAACAGCCTCTCTGACCTTCTCTCTATCCGCTTCTCGCACTCGTACCATTATCCGACCCTCGAATTTGTCCGGATGAAAACGTAGCATGGTCTCACGAAGCCTGTCCTTGCGTCTCTTGACAGTTTCGGCATCTACTTCTTGGTCACGCCCTTCAGCGGGTACCAAGAACGTCGAAATTGCCTGCAGTGACAGGTCTGCAACAGACATCGCGTCTCCTGTCTTCATGACGGGCCACGGAACGTCCGAGAACCCGATTTGCTGGTGCAGTGGTTCACCCGCTTCAAGCAGCTTTTTCCACTGAGCATTGTACTGCTCCCTCGCCTCTGCCTCGCGCTTGCGGTCTCTACCTCTCTTCCGTCGCATTCTGTCTTCTTCCGCTGCCTTCTCCAGCCTAGAAGTTTCTTCTCTGATAGCCTCTTCATATGCTCGACGAGCAGCCTTCTCGGCCTCCTTGCGAGTTTGTTCTGCATGGTCTGCAGCATGCTGTTTCCTAGTTATTGAACAATCACCATCAGGTCGATGAATGCTTTGCCAATCCGGCATACGTACCTCCACATCCCCGCCCTGATCCACTCCGCGTAGTCCTCATCCTCCATCATCTGTGGGTTTATGTCTGCGTCGTCATCCATCCGGTCCATGCCTCCGCCTCGCCACCTCCTGGGTACATGCGCATACGCGTTTAAGCGCGACTCGACCGCGTCCAAGCGCTCGTCATCTTCCAATGCCCCCCACATCTTCTCCCGGAAGCGCTCCTCCTGCATCTGCGCGTAGATGTGGTCGTAATCCGGCTTGCGCGCGCGGTGGCTGGAGGAAACAGAAGGGGGTGGAGGGGGACCGTACTCTTCTTCGGTGTCAAAACCATACTCGTCGTGTGCTTGTTTGTGTGTGGTCCCGGTATGCGAATGAGAGGAATCTGCTCGCCGCCGTTTCGCCCGGCCATCCTCGTCGCTGGAGTATTCGTTAGGACGCCTCTTCTTCGCTGCCCTCCGTGCCGCTTTCTGAGCCTTTCGCCACTCATGTTCTGCTTCTTCTGCTGGCGTCGGCTTCAGGTGTAGCTTGCTCGAAGGCATGGCGAGTGCTAAAGGCAATGTAAAACGGTGTTGTCAGTTTGAGACCGTGACGTGACGCGTGCAATCCTACTTTCCTATTTTGGACCCCATTCCTCAGCGATAAAAAAGATCTTATCTTATCTCGCCTCAGTTCAAAGGGATCGTGTCTGCTCGAGTGCTCTCCAGCGAATCATTGCCTGTGATCCAGCTGAGGAACTCTAACCTGCCACTCGCTCGTGCGAGGCCTATGGATGCGAGTCCGGATCGATTTCTCGACCAATGTTCGCACCCTGTGTCCCAGATCAGTCGATGGCACGATAGAGTTATCGGCGTAAGCCTCGTCCATATGCTCATCATATGTTTTTCGATCATGTCTGGAATTCGAAGAGGCACCCTTGCGAGCGTCGTAACCACCAGATTCTGCGTTTCTCCCTCCTACCATTTCCACCAACATGTCTGCTCCCAACGGCTTGATCTGTTTCACCAATTGTCTGCTGCCCCACGAAGATGGCAGCTTGGAAGAGAAAGATTTGTGGATTGACGAGCGCCGCGGTGTGATTCTCGATGCACAGGTGAGTTTGAACTTGACTTTAGTTCATGTAATGGAGTTCTTTAAAGTAATCTGGTGGTGTTAGCGTACGTTCTTCCTCCGCAAGGAAAGACCGGACAGAATAATTGACCTTGGCGGAAACATCCTGAGGTGCGTTGGCTCTGAATGATGCTTGGTCGCAGTGCCTGGAATAGAAGGCTGCCTGTTGATGTCACTCGCCATCGTCCCTGTTAAAACTGACATGCTTTATGTCGTAGTCCTGGTTTCATGGACATTCAGATCAATGGAGCTTATGGATTCGATTTCTCAGTCTACGAAGGAGATGACGACGCCTACCGTCAAGGGATGAGGACGGTTGCCGAGAAAATTGTCGAGACTGGTGTCACTTCGTGCGTATTACCGAGTACTTTCCTCCAGCAAAATTGGATTTGAACGCTTCACAGTTTGGTTCCCACAATTATCGTAAGCACCTCAATGTTTCTGTACCTTCTTTTGAGACTCATTTTGTCCCGCATTTAGACGCAAGAGAAGTCACTTTATCCCAAGATCCTGCAGCTTCTACGTCCGTTTACCGCTTCGAAATGCGCGACCCTCCTTGGATGGCATGCAGAAGGGCCCTTCATCCAGCTCGCGAAGCGCGGTGCCCATGCCCCCCAATTCCTGATGGCTGCGTCGGAGGAACTGAAGTCATTCGAGGACGTCTATGGCGCAGATAACCTCGCCGACAAGGAAGACTGGCTCATGACCGGAGAAGGCTCTTCCGATAGCATCGGCGTGCGCATTATTACGGCCGCTCCAGAAATCGCGGGCGTCATTCCTGCCATGGAAGAAGTGGTGAAGCGGGGCGTGATTTTCTCCATCGGACACAGGTACGCCACGCTTCCTGGAATACTCTGAGCATACTGATTGTGGCTGCCGTTTTGCAGTACTGCAACTACTGACGTCGCGACGGAAGCCGTGCGGTCAGGTGCACGCCTCATTACACACCTTTTCAACGCCATGCCGCAGCTGCACCATCGTGACCCCTCAATCATCGGGCTTCTGGCAGCGTCTCCGCACATTTCGTACCCGGGTTCCGCTGTGGAGAGGGCGAGGAATTCGCCCCTCCAGCGTACTGAGTCGTTGTTGAAGCAGGTCGCCCTCTCCAACGCGCTTCACGAGGGCCCCAAGGCCGCCTCAGAAGCGTTCGACGACACCGAGACACCCCCGGAGACACCTGTCGTCCATAATCACACCGAGACGGATTTGCACCTTGTGAAGGGGAAAGTCACCGACCTTGCGTTCGAGAGGCCGTTCTATGAGCTGATCGTCGATGGTATCCACTCTCATCCTAATTCTGTTCGGGTACGTTCCATGAAGCTCGATTGCGACATGTATGGTGCTAATTCGCACTGCAGCTCGCACATTCCACCTTCCCCGAAGGCTGCATCTTAATCACGGATGGTATGAATGTGGTAACTTGTGAAGCACCAAGTCTGACATGTTTCCTCAGCCATGAAGATTCTCGACCCGCATCTGAAAGATGGCGTCCACGAATGGCGCGATGGAAAGCGCTTCGTGAAGGAGGGTGACAAGCTGTACTTGGAAGGGACAGACACGCTTGCAGGCAGGTGAGCTGCGCATCTCACGCGCTGCATCGTATCGGGCCAGCTGACCCGGCGTCTGCGCCAGTGTGGTCACGCTTGACAAGTGCGTCCGGAACTTCTCGCGGTTCACGGGCAGTTCGCTGGGCGAAGCTATCAAATGTGTCACATACAACCCCGCGAAGTAAGTCTCGGGGTGCAAATTTTGGCTGCGCTGTGCTCATATCTTCGCAGATGTCTGGGTCTCGAGAACAAGAAGGGCACGCTGCGCCCCGGTGCGGACGCCGACCTCGTCGTGTTGGATCGCAAGGGCAACGTGTTGAGCACATGGGTCAAGGGTCAGGAAGCTTGGAAGAAGAATTAGGATGGCCGTGGCACTTCCATGAACAGATAGAATGCATGATTGATATCAGACGCATGTAGAGCAGCAGTGTGATATTTGTAGAAATACCAGAATTAGACTCTCGCGGGTAATAGTATGTTATGCAGAATATTGTGCTGCCAGCCTGAGTCCACTCCGTATAACGGTCACTGCAATTGCAATATTGTGATCTGGACGCGAGTCGAAGACCGATAGATGTTTGGGCAGGAGCCAATCAGATGCGGGAGATCAGGCATGAGAGACGTAAAACGAAGCCCGATGATCATCGTCGCTCGCTCAGCTCAGCCACCCGTACGACGTCGAGCTCGACGGTCGGGAGGACTGGGAGCGATGACCAAGACACTCACCAAGCCGCTCGGGGCCGCATACACCGCCAGACTACCAAATCGCAGCGTGGGAAGGGATGACCAGGACCCGGTCATCCGCAATTATAGTCTCGTCCAATTTCACCGCACTGCACTTCCCCCCCTTCCTTCCTTTTCTCCCTCGCAGCCGCAGACATGGCGACAGACTCTCCTTCGCCGTTCACCGACCCCCCAAATTACCAGTTCCCCACTCATCGTCTGCACCGCGTCTTGCGCAACCCAGACAAGCAGCCAATCGTCCTGGTCGCGTGCGGCTCCTTCAGCCCCGTAACCTACCTCCACCTGCGCATGTTCGAGATGGCCATGGACTACATCCGACAAAACACTGATTACGAGATCGTGGGTGGCTACCTCAGTCCCGTCAGCGACATGTACAAAAAGCCGGGCCTCCTTAGTGCATATCACCGGTATGTGCTCCTCTGCAGACTATCACACTAGACGCTGATCGTCAGACGACCCCCGCAGAGTAAATATGTGCACGCTTGCAGCCGAGCAGACCTCCTCCTGGCTCATGGTCGACCCATGGGAGGCCTTTCAGTCCTACCAGCGCACCGCGGTCGTGCTCGACCACTTTGACTACGAGATAAACACCAAGCAGGGCGGGGTCACGACCGCAGACGGCGTGCACAAGCCCGTGAGCGTGATGCTCCTCGCGGGCTCGGACCTCATCGCGACGATGAGCGAGCCGGGCGTGTGGTCGGACGCGGATCTCGACCACATCCTCGGCCGGTACGGCGTGTTCATCATCGAGCGCGCGGGCTCGGACATGGACCAGGCGATCGACAGCCTCTCGCGCTGGCGGCACAACATCCACCTCATCCATCAGCTCATCCAGAACGACGTCTCCTCGACTAAAGTTCGCCTCTTCCTGCGGCGCGGCCTTTCCGTGCGCTACCTGCTGCCAATACCCGTCGTAGACTACATCGAGCAGCACGGGCTATATACCGACGATGGCTCCTCCGCCGCTGAGCGGGAGAAGGAGAAGGGCAAGGAACGCGAGGCCGGGTCGAGCGACAAAGGAAACGTCGCGCTCGCATCGTCCTCATCATCATGATGCACGGACATCATGGATAGCCTTAAAGAATTATAGAGACGGAGAAGTCTTTTTGGCGCGTGTACGATGACATTGCTCTCACGTCTACGTAGATGAGCACTGCATTCCTCTATTAATATTCTGTATGGTATTGGGTTGGGAGACTGAGGAAGATCGTTGTTGTACGTGCTACTCCCCTATCAGTGTATGATAGTCCCCATGCGATGTCTCCCTTTCGCTGCGGATGGTGCAATTCTGAGTTCATGGAGACTTTCCGGATAGGGTAATACCAGTTGTATTCACGTGCATGGGTCTCGTGACCTTTATCGCATGGACGGTGAAACCGGGCCGCCAGGGCGTCTGTATCACTACCGTAACCGCCGAAAGACAGCTTCCAAAGTGTAGTTGCTCCGAAGCTCTCCTGCAGTCTACAGACAGGCTTGACTTTGCTATATGTGCCTGAGATGGGGTGCCGAAACTGTATTATCTACTTTTGCGATTAACAAAGACAAGTAAAGTGTCAATACAGAGACCGTAAGCAAACTATCGGGGATGCGGGGTATAAGAGGAGATGCGAAGACATGATGCGAATGCAGACATAATAGGCCATACCAAGCGAGAGTGCAGACATACGGGCATACGAGGGGGGCATATGTATTATAGTACACTTACCACCGTCGCCCGGGTCAATAATTGAGTAGTTGGTTCCAAAGGAGCGACAGGACACGAGAGTTGCATGCCAAAAAAAATCCGGATCCAGACACCAGCAGGATCATGCGAAACGTCCGTCAGAGACCCGATCAACACACCTCTACCTCCCACTCCCCTCCCTCCCTCCCCGCGCTCGGCATGCTCTTCAGCGCGATCCGTACGCGCCGTCGGCCCGTCGCCGGCGAGCCTTCGCGCGAGAATCCGCTCGAACTGCTGCCGTACTCAAAGTCGAGGCTCGACCCCGAGGTGTCAAACAATGACGGGAACGTCCTCCTCGGTGACGACAGACCAAGTTCGTCCTGTCCATCCAAGGACATTCGACCGAGACCCGTGCTGTACTCTGTGCCGATACCAAGGAACGGACCCAAGCGGTCTTCGCTCGAATCACGCCTCGTTGAAGAAGACGCAGACGACGAATCGCTAGTGCCGAGCATGGCCTGATCCTCCAAGTCCGAAGAAAAAGCCGGAGAATCCGCAAGCGCGGACGCTGGGGGGTGTATGCGAACCCGAATCTTCCCATTTTCCGTGGGGGACGCGTCAAACGAGATGTCCAAACCGCTCAGTCCGAGAGCCTCCGAGTCATTGTCCACAAATTCTAATTTCCGGGCCGGCGAGATGGTGGGGGTCGGAGCCATTGTCGCGACGCGCCCCTTGTCGTCGAAATCAAGGTCTACGTCCATTACCGAGCTGCCCGTGTTTACACCCGATAACCAGTCGTAATCGCCAGGCATATAGTTCTGCAATTCGAATGGGTTCGAGGGAGGAAGTGAGGATGAACCAGCGAGGGGAAAGGTGAACGCGCTGGGAAGGGTGGAAACTCTAGGCATAGACAACAGAGTAGGCAGAGCACACAACAGAACCTTGATGAGCTCCAATCAGCATATGCTCTGAACGCCGCAATCAGATGTCTCACCATGAGTCCAAGACTGGCGCCGGATCTTTCACCCTTATGGACTGATTGCACAGACGCTGAGCGTGCAGGGAGCTGAGGTTCTGAAGACTCCATCTTCACTGAAGAGGCACGTGGAGATGCTTCGTGCGACTCGAACTGCGCCGCAAGATCACGTTCACGCTGCTGCACAGCAGCCAACTGGTTCCGGAGCTGTTCCACTTCGGACTGCAACCCGCCGCGCACGTCTTCCTGCTGCTCTGAGATGCTCGCATTCTGCGTGAGCGCCAGTAACCGCGCGTTCTCCTGCTCGAGTTCGGCAACGCGACTGCAGAGCAGAAACGGGCACGGAGTGAGCCGCGTGTGAAAGTGGATGGTATCCTCGGGAACGGACATACATCTCCATGTTCTCGAACTCTTCCCGCTTCCGCTGCCGGCTGAGAAACGCGGCGGCACGGTTTTTCACAAGGCGTGCTTCGCGCTTGCTGAGGCCCGATACGTCGGGGGGCACGAAGTCCCTCGTCGTAACGCGCTCGCCGCAGGCGCGCGCCTTCTTACTGGAGGCCATGGCGGTGCTTGATGGTCTTTTCGATGGAACGACGTTGGAGTTGATGGAGATGGAGAGGTGCGGTTGTTCCGCAGGAAGGGACACGGTCGAGCCTTCGGGAGAAGGGGTGTACATCACGGTAGGGAAGTCATTGAAGACCTGGTGAGTGGGGAGACAGAGCGCGGGCTCGCAGCCCTCCGGGCTCATGCGAGTCTTGAGCATGCAGGACGCGAGTATAGGGGACTCAGTGCCGGAGCTGGGCGGCGAAGGGGGAAAGGTATGGTGGGAATGGGTAAGTGAGAAAGAGTCGGCTACCGAGTGGTGGTCCCAGGGCGCAAAGTCTGAGAGAGGGGAGGACAGGGGCGCGTCGCTGGAGATGATGGCGGACATGTTGAGGACCGGGAGGTGTCTAGACATTTTGGTGAATTAGGAGAAGGTAGTACGAATTACGGTAGGGATTGAGCGTGCGGTGGTGGTGGTGGTGGTGGTGGTGGACGGAAGGGATCAAAAAAGTTCGGATAGGTGAGAGAGGCCCGGGCTTATATCGCTAGGATCCCCGCCAAATCCATTCATAGACCCGCGACGTAGCCGACCAATCAACCCAACTGATGTTCCACCCAAAGTTCCACCCCTGCCCCTTCCTCATCTATCATTTTTTTAGTTCCTGCCAGCTCCCATGTACCCCCCCTTACCACCCCACCTTCTGTCACCCACACGCCCTCTCCCTGCTGCAGACTTCCGGGTTCATGCCATTTCCATAACACTGTAAACTCTATCCGAGTAAGCTTCTATGCGTCACGCTGACTGCCTGCGCAAGTACTGTCCGGTCACCACGTACTGCGGCTCCCAGCCCGATATGTCAACTCTGCAGCCCGGACGAGGTCGGAGGGCGTGTACCAATATCCCAGAGCATATCCTCATTCTGATTACGCGGGCGGTAATTAACTCACACTTAAGACGCCATTCCCCTCCGAGGACAAAGGGAATGTTTAGCTGGCGTTCACGCCGCTCTCCCCGCTCGAGCAGAGTCAGACAGTCTTTGTGTCCTCCCTCTCTCTGCTCCGACTCGGGTCCTTGCTCTGGCCGCATCTAAACAGGTACGCCGATCGTTTCCCCTCTATCGTAGTCTGGCGCGTTCCGTCCATCACGAGTGCGTCCTCCTCTGGGGCTCCGCTCGCACTCGTGAACATCTATCTTCTGCTGCGGGCGGCGTCGAACCTCGGTCCTACACTTTGTTCTTGCCCTGACATCACAGGAATGTCTACGAACGTGCACGAAAACTTTCCTGGTACCTCACCGTGCGGTAACGGTAACGTTCCTCGATTGAATGGAACGGTTCTGGAAGGCTGACTGACGTGAGTTGCCGGGGTACACCATGTAAATTTCTCATGTCTTGTTGCGACTAACATCATGTCGATATTCTGCGAGCTTCCTAGCATTTGGCCAATCATACGTGATTTTGCAGTGACCGTGGCAAGATACTGACGGTTGGCTCTTACGCCTTCCTCAATCAGCGATCATGCAGTCCTGATGGGCCACAATCACTACAAGTCCTCGGACTTGTTTCGGCGAGAGCGATTTTTGCTTCCGTCTATCTTATCTAACCAAGTAACCCCTCAAGCCTCAAACTCAAATCTGAGATAACGACAACTTAGGCGCTCGAGGGCCCAGCGCTGCGTGCGCATTGTACGGAATGACAGAAAACCGTGCGCCACCAATTCCCGTCCAAGTGCACTTCGCCGGTCAGGAAGTCGCAATGTCCGCTCCATCTCCGACCATCTCCGGGCTAACACCGTTGGGAGTTCTTGTTTTACAGCACCCACGCACATCGCCTTGGTAGGCAGTATCTCACTGGCAGATTTCCATTGAACAGTGATGCCCTTGAGAGAAGTGGATCAAATACACTGTTCGGACATGGCTCACGGCCAACGCGCAGACCAAGGGTGCAAATGCAAGAGGACTTCTGCCGGCTACATAACTATCTCAATTTACAAAGGTGGAGTGATGGAAAGCTATTGTTTTGTCCAAACTATGGCTCTATCATGTTGCCCTATAGTATGAACTGAAAATGTTCAAGAACGATTGGAACATGTACAGAAACAAATGTATTTCAGTAACATTATGGAATTATGTGGATCTGTTTCACCACTTGGGCAGAATCCATGACCACTACAGGCCATTGAGATGAGCACTGCTTGAACAGGTTCCCACAATGTAAGGTCACTCAAATCAAGTGCTGGAAATCATTTGCATCCTTAAGATCCTCAGATAGATTAGACCAAAATGTGAAAGATGTGCTTGAGATGTTCAAATCTAGAAATGATGAAATATGGCTGAACAAAAGAGTCTCCAATGGATTGGAAACTATGAATTGATTGCCTGAAGAAAAACTTCCATGAGCCCAAGAGAAGGTTTAAGCATAATTGTAAGCTGAGCATCAACTGGCTTCAGATTAGAACAAAATAGAACAGGTGCAAATGAGATTCTTTATTGCAGTGATGACAAGAAGTAAGGAAGGGCAATGAAGACTCAACATGATGTAAGTAATGTATAAAAAAGGAAGAAGAGACAAATAGTAGAATAATTCTATTGAGAAACCCCCAGAAACCCAGAAACTCCAAGAAACCCCGGGTTTCTGAGGCTGCTTACAGAAACCCCTCAATTTGGAAACTTGAGAAGTTTCCCTGCCCAGAGGAAATCTTGGTGCCAGGCAGGCCACCCTCCATTGGCTGCTATCGGTGCTGTCCCAACAATGACAAACCTCTGGTGTTGTTTGTGTGGAAGGCAGGGCAGACTCACTACTGAGGTTCTCATGCCGTTTCATTGAGAAACCTTGCAAGCAAGCAAGGTCTGTTCAAGCTCTTATGTAATTACTTGAAAGGGAGAGGAAGAGGGAGACTTGGCACCCTTTTTTGGTTGATGATTGTCATGTTTATATTTTGCGAGCCATCATGGCAGCAGCCACTTTTAGAAGTATATCTGTCTCATATATCCGAGAGACCAGCGAGAACAATATTTCCTCCATTTCATATACATTCTGAGTTCTCATACCTTCAGTGTGACTTGTTTGATAAGCCCTAATTCTCATAATGAAGTTTCGAAGTTGGGGAGGTCACGCTTCGCTCACTTTTCAGAAATTCTGTACAACTGGTGCCGCATCTCGCTAAGCAAGACACCTACTAGTGATGTAAGTGCCCAGGAGCCCGGCCAGCTGTCAACAGTCTTCCTTTGAGAGAAACTGGGTTGCTGAACAACTCAAGGTGGTTTCTGGGGTTTCCAGGTTTCTCAATAGAATTATCCCAAATAATACACTATGTGTTTGTGGCTAGATCACATGAGCACAGTTGCACAAAGCCCAAGCCAATGACATCAACATAGCCCCCCTTTTAGGGTTCTATTCAGAGGTTTTGACACTTCATCTCTTCAGTTTCTGCATAGCATACAGTCTCTCATGTATCTTCTTCAAAATTGTGTGACCCAACATATGTATCAAATAATTGATTAAGCAGCTTTTTGTCAGGTCAATGAGCTGGAGAGTGTTTAAATAAGACTTTTGTCATTCCATGATGGTTGTGCATGTGACATTATTGAACTAATGCAGAAGTGTGCATGACAAAATAACACTGTGGCTATCTCCCTGTCTCTATGTATAGAGTCTATACTGCTGTAATATGTTTTCTCACTGCTGGACTATATTATTAATTACTTCTACCTCAGTTGTTCTAATTTCTTTGTCAGAAGACTGGTCTCCAGTTTCTCAATCTGCTGGAATCAGTGATACTTCTGACTCACTTCACTACCATGACCAATTCTCTTTAATTATGAACACTACATCAGGAACTCGAGATAGCTCTATAGGCTCCATATGGTAGCGGATGGAGCTCCGGAGTGATGGAAATCCCCCCCATCATATAGAGCAGGCCATCTCCGTGCCATGCCAGATGGAGATCATGTCTCTGCATGGAGCTGGATGGAGACAGCACGTGGCTTGTGAGACATACTCGTGAGCACCAGAGACAGGCTCAAGCTGTTGGATATTCTTGGAAAATACTCATAGAGCATGTAGGAAGAGATATTAATGCTGTCTAGATACATCTGCTTGCTTAGGGCATTTAGCTCTCTCTGTCTATAGCTGGCATCTTCATGCAGAGGTACAATCTCCATCCAGCTCCAAATGGAGCCGAGGAGACCTATCCTCCATATGGAGGAATCTTGATTCCCTGATATAGCAATGGCAGCGCTCCTACATACCAGAGTAGTCACTCCATCTACATCAGCAGAAGATAACACTTTCTTATCTGATAACTTAGCTGACTTAGCTGACCTTTGAGTCTTAAATGAGCCTGTCAGATATAAGCAAAAGACATCAGCCAGCAGAACACCCCAGCTGTCTCACCACTCAGCGACATCCCCACACTGAGATTCTGTCATCACCACACCCACTGCTCGATGGCCACCTGATACTGTACATCTCACTTGACTCACACGTGAATTAATTAAAACATCTGCAGCAAGGAAGCCATCAATTACCAAAGACAGAGAGAACTTCAGGGGCATACCTTGAGACAACACCAGGCAGGTCATCTACTAGTAGGCCTTTGTCTACAGTTAGAGGATGTCAAATCAACTTTATCAACATTTAGTGGACAGGCTCCTGATCATAACAGGGATCAGGGTACTGGTACATGCACCAGGTGATGCATATTGCAGGGAAGCAAAGCACAAAAAAACATGACCAAGCCTGACATATGGTCATACATGATGTCAGGTCTTCAACGTTCAACAGACCATTACAAAAAGACATGAACAAAGGGAACATGAGCGTGACAGGAGACAGATGAGAAGGGGTCGAGATGTCAAAGAGATGTTGAACTTCCAAGCATCAGTGTGGTTACCATCAAGAGTTGACTGAAAACTGTTCCGGCTTCAAACCGGGCAGAATCTCAAGTTGCATCAGGCTCTGTATGGGATAGCCTCAGGCTGATCAAACTTTGAGCCTTGTTGGACTCGGAGCTCAATTCCACCACTCATTCACCAGGCTGTGTTACAGGGGCCAGTCATGCCACCGTACATCCGGTTCATCATCGTCAGTGACTAGGCCTTCGCAAGGGCTTAAGTCAATCATGGGGGGTCCGACCTCGAGTCATGGCGATGACCAGAGGTCGGCCCAGTGGAGCTGTCTTATGAACACTTGGCTGCTGTCTGCGGACCAAGGTGTTACAATGGTCCCTGGCATGGGCCATGCGAACGGGCTCCGGCCCGAGTTGGAACATTCTCACAGTATGCAGCTGTGATGTCGAAGCCTCACCTAGAGGCTAGACCTTTGGATATCACGTGCTATGATGTCACTAATCTAGAATATGACGTCATGGTTCTCGACCTAGTCTAGG